TAAATGTAAGGATTGGTTAGTTAATAGGATTTATGTACTTGAGCATTTTGTTACTAACTCATCGATGGAATGACAAATAATAGTGCTACTCAGTCAAATGTTTGTACTCTTTAAAATGTGAGAAATGTTTATGGAACTTTGCTGTTTTTTTCTCTGTTTTTACTGCACTTTTACAATTTGTACTATATATTGAAAAAACACTTGTAACAATAATTTTCTTAAACTTACTGCACTTTAAAGAATAACATTGTTAATAAATTGTTTACTTTTAAGATATTGAAACCATCTGAAAAGAAAGCTAAGTACCAGTATGGTGGACTGAATTCAGGACGTCCTGTCACTCCACCTCGAACAGCCAATCCACCGAAGAAAAGGTGAAGAAAGGAGCAGTATAAAGAAACCATCAGATTTGTTAAGGACATACTTCATAATATATAAGTGTGCACTGTAAAACCATCCAGCCATTCGACACCCTTTATGATGTCACACCTTTAACTTAAGGAGACGGGTAAAGGATCTTAAATTTTTTCTAATAGAAAGATGTGCTACACTGTATTGTAATAAGTATACTCTGTTAAAATATTCAACAAAGTTAAGTCCAAATTCAAAATTACCCATCAAAATTACCCATTCACTTATCACAGTTTTTAAAGTTGAAAAGCATCCCAATTAAACTAGATGTGATAGTCAAACCAGATGAAAGCATGATGATCCTTCTGTGTAATGTGGTTTTAATGTTGCTTGGTTAATTATTTTGGGCTTGTTTTGTTTTGTTTGTTTTTGCTAGAATAACTGCAAATATTTTCAACTTTTTTCCCTAAACATTTTTAAAAGTGAAATGTGGGACAAGCTTTAAAGGAGTTCACCAACTATTATTTTTTCTGGCTTGTTTACTTATGTATCTGTTTGATCTTAACTAAGAAAATTTATGCCTCATTATTGTAAAAAGGAATTTTAGAGATTGATATTTTACAAGTATGCGAACTGTCCAATCCAGTGATTTAATCAGACAGTTTGGGTAAACTTTGAGGCTGATAGTGAATATTTTGCTTCATTCAGAAATTGCCACAGATTTGGGTTTGTGCACTCTAAGTTTTAACTTATTGATTCTCTATTGTGCAGTAGCATTTCATTTAACTTTAAGATAAGGCTCATTATACTATTACCCAGCTAGTTGGTAATGTGATTATGTGTGGTACCTTGGTTTTAGGTTTTAATTTGCACGAAACACCTTTTGGCATGCTTAACTTTCTGGTAACACTCTCACCTGCATCATCTTTGTTTTTTCAGTTTTTGTTGTTGTTGTTACTGTTTTTTGTTTTTAGATCCACAAAACAGAATCCTTTTTTGACAAGCCTTAGAAAGCTGACACTATTTCTTTTTCCCTCACTCTGTACGAAGGACGTGTTTAAATGAATGCTGGTCAGTGGGACATTCTGTCAACTATGAGTATTGGGTGCTTAACTGTCTAATATTGCCATGTGAATGTTGTATACGATTGATTGTAAGGCTTATGTCACTAAAGACTTTTATTCTGATTTTTCATGATCAAAGTTCATATTGTATAGACATGCTTTGTAGTGAACTATAGTAGCAATAATTTCTGTACATGATCAAGGGTTTTTTGCAGTATTTCTTTTCCTGTTCTCTCTTTTTTTTTTTAAGGGTTAGTATTAAATGGCAAGAGTACAAAAAGTGAGCATAAAGATTTTATAAGGAGAACTTAGAGAACACAGATTTGTGATTTTTCGATGCAATACTTTTGGATGTGATTCTAAGAGCTTTTATTGAGCGTTGTCAAATTTGTAAGCTTCATAGGGATGGACATCATATTTATAATGCCCTTCTATGTGTGCTACCATAGTTGTGAAATTCTTGACTTTAATAATTGTCTTTAAAAATGTTAAATTGAGAACTCTGTTAACTTACATTGTATGAATTGGTGTATTGTATTTCTGCAAGAGATTTGATTTTCAGCACAGTGCAACGTTCTTTCAAATGCTCTTTTTTTTTTTCTAATTCCATTTTGTTTTAAAGCACATTTTAAATGTAGTTTTCTCATTTAGTAAAACTTGTCTAATTGATATGAAGCCTGACTGGTTATTTTACCCTCCCCCTTTTTTCCCTTTACAGTGAGACATTTAGATACATTTTATTCAAATAGATTTCAGTGTCTGATGCATATTGAATTGATCCTTTTCTGAACGTGTTTGTGTACTGTATATGGTAGATTAGGTTAGGACACACAGGCTTTTATCTAGTGTGATTTTAAATATCTTAACTGGAGTGTAAGTTGAGCAGTTCTAATACAATTTTAGATGTACTTTTAGTAGTCATGTGAAGCAGGCCTAGAAAATAAGCCTTTGGCAGAAAACAGGGTAGTCTTTTATTAATCTCAGTATTAATAAAACCACATTAATTTAGATCCTACTTACTGGAGATCTGTAATAATATATCTAGGTCAATACTGATTATGAAATCATTGTTATTAATTAAATATTGGTCACTAAATTTTAAAGGATGGAAATTCACCTTGTTTAAATATTATTTAAGCAGTCTTTAAACCACTTTAATAGCTTTTATTTATATATTTTTTACTAAAAATATTTAGTTGGTAACACAGTGCTACTTGAAATAAATAAAACTTGATTTCCTAGGAGAAAAATACCCCACCAGTTTTAGTGCCACTAATTTATAGAGTCCTTCCTCTCTGATTTTTAATAGTTTCCTATATTTAAATGTATCTATAATCCAAATGCCATGACATTCAAATTCATTAAACATTACCAGATAATGTGATAGCATAAATTTCTGTTTGGGAATGAAAAGACTACAGTAGACCCCTTTCTTTTGAAGCTTTAATATTCATTGTTTTAATTTTGCCCAGGGACAAATTTCAATCATAACCAGCAAGACTGTTTTGCAAAATGTGGAATCAAATACCAGGAAGGAAAATTTTAAAGCTTAAACAGTGGTTAATTGGAAGTGTTCAAAGGATTTATATGCCTTTCATAAAAAAAAAAGGGGAGGGAAAGACAGGAGGAACATCTTGGCATGTGTCCCTTAAAAATGTAAAAGTGTGTCATACTGAGTCAAAGAAATGAAATGTAGCTTCATTTTTAAGTTCAGGTACATTTTGTCTCCTTGGCAACCATGACTTTTGAATTCAGCTTTTTTTTTTTCTTTAACATATTTATGCTAGAAACATGTTGAGAAAAGGAACATGGTCAAGCTTACTCCTCTCGCTGCCCTGGCCCAGTCCACTCCTCTCGCCCTTCTGGATCCATCCCTGAAACAAAGCCGCACCTGAGAAGATGCGGGTCAGCAGGACTAGCCCAGTGGCATCCGCTTAGAAATACTGTACTATGTCTTATTTTGCTAGATTTCAGTGCTTTATAATTTCCTTAAACAGCTAAAAAATGGTTAAACGATCTTGAAGTGACAGCATACCTTACAAAATGAACAGTAGTGAAACAGCATAAACTGATTTCATGTAAGTATACAACTAAAGTTTGACCATTACACCCTAATGTTTATTCAACAAGTGACATTTAGATACAGTGTAACAATTTTGATGTGTCCAATTTGATCACCCACTCTGGAATTTGAAGTCAAAAGAAATATTTAGCAAGACTGTAGCAACATGAAAAGAGCCCAGAGGGGCAGGGGCCGGGTCAGGCAGGTTATCCATTAGGTAGAAGGGAAGAAGGTCACGCAACACATTACAAAGCTGTGGAGGATCTTTATATACCCCTTCAACAAACGTCAAACACCTACTACATCCTAGGCACCTGGCCAAGGGTTAAGATGAGGGCAGAACGACTCCTGTAGAATAATTTACAACTTAGAACACATTTAACAGAATGGGAAGTATTACCCCTTATCACAGAGCCTTGGTATTCACACCTTTTATTAATTTAAGTGGTCTGTTCATATAATCATTTTAACAGGGCCGCTCTGTCAAGCTGCAGGGAAGACAGATGGCCCCGATACACGCCTGACTTTCCGTCCAAGGAAAGGGGTTGAATTAGGACTCCTGCCTGGGGAGATTGCCGACCACCGTGGGGTTTTCTTTTGCCCGGAGGGTAAGCGCGGCAGGATAACGGTAGGTCAGCTGAGAGCTGCAGGGCGGCTCGCGCTACCTCCGGCCGGCCCCGCCCCCGCGGCGTTCTCTGAGCGGATTGGCCCGCGCTGGCCTCGCTCTCCATTGGCGGGAGGTCTTCCAGCAGGTCGTGCAGCTGTGGAGCGACCTGCGAGCTACCGTTTGAGGCCCGGGGGCGCCTGGGGGAGGCTGACCGCCCGCCCGGCCCCTGTTGCCAGCCCCAGATTTTCGCAGGTATCTTAGTCTCGAGCGTTCCCGGCGACTCCTGGGCCCGTGGTGTCCGGTCCTTTCATTCTCTGTCACACCCAACCAACCCCTCCATCCACAGGGTGTGAAGATGTGGCGACTTCCCTCTGGTGGCTTCACAGGGACGAGGAAACACCCTTCCAAGCAGTGGCAGCCTGGGCGTGGGGGCGCGGAGAGGTCGGGCGAGGGTGGCGGGCCCAGGCCAGGTGCGGGGAGAGCTGCCCGGATGGGACGGGGCGGTCCCCTCCGCGGCTGGTCGTGGGGCCGCCGGACGCCACGCTCCCTCGGCAGAGCAGGTGGTGCGGGCTGCTGGGCAGGCGGGGGCTGGGGGGGGGACGTGGGGCGGAGTGGCGCCGTGTCCACCGGCGGCCGGGCCGCAGCCTCCCTCACGGGGCGGGAATTTGGCTTCGCCGCCCCGCTGAGTCCCGCTGACGGAGCCCACGCGCTGGTGCCCTCGAGGGCGGGCGGCGCAGGAGTAGGACCCGCCTCGCTCGCGTCCCATTGAACTCGCCCGTCCCCCGGGGGCGCGTACACCGGGATGGCATCTCGTTCCGCGCCTCTCAGTTCGCGGGACGCACGCCTTCCGCCTGCAATGCCGCCGGGGGCCGCCGGGGGTGCCTGGCTTCCGAGGGGAAACGAGCGGACTGCCGCGCGGAGCGCTGCGGCGAGGCCGAGTGTCCACGCCGAGCTCCCGTCCGTCACACCCTCGTTCTCCACGCTGCGCATTTTAAAGTGCTGCCCTTCCTAACGGTTAAGTCACGTTTTTAGTGGAGGTGAAGTCGGGCTGCCCGCCATGTTTTGCTGGAAGACGCCATCCCGACGAGGTGTGCGCCGGCCGCTCCGGGGCCGTCCGGGGAGCGTTCGCCGCTTCGGGCGTCGTCGCACTCGCCTGCCTTCCCTCAGCCGCACCAGATGCGTGCGGTTAACCCGGCCCAGTGATAACAGCCGTTTATTGCCTTTTAAACACAAAGGCCTCTAGTGTCCGGACATCCCAAGGGAGGGACCTGCCCCAGCGGGGAAGCCGTGCGAGGTGTGTTGGGGGGGGGCGAGCTCCACGCCCCGTGGCGGCCGCTCGTCTCCTTCCGCGAGGTCCCACCCCGTGTTCCGTGGTCTTTCTGTGACCTCGGGTGAAGTTTAAAGGTGGACATTGTGCAGAGTTGATAATGGCCCCAGCAGAGCCAGCGACTCGGCCGGAACGTTCTGCCTAAATCTGCTGCGTCGTGTTTCAGTCGTTAGACTCCGAGGTTGTAGCAGGAGAGCTCCGCGGTCGTTTCCGTGGGGCTTCTTCGTTAAGAGGAGTGTTAATGTCGCACGGAGGTGAGAAGTCCAGCCTTCTTCCCTGCAGCAGCGGCTTGTTTACCCACCAAGTCGTAATTTACTGTGCACGCTTTACCGCCGCACATGCTCCAACTAAATTTTTATAAAGTGTAATGTGATAGCTGTGTTTATAGTTGTTTTCCTGGCAAAGTGACAGTAAGCAATGCTGGACTGCTTACCACACTCTTGTGTTTTACACGTGATTTCGCTTAATCTTCTCAACAATTCTTTAGTGATTACAGATTGTGGGGCCGCGGTGTCACAGTCCCGGGTTCAGGTCCTCGCTTTGTCGCTCACTGACTGTGTGGTAATGGGCAAATGTCTGAACTTCTCTAAGCCTCAAGCTTCTAATCTGAAAATAAGAATAAAATAATACCCACCTTACAGAGATGTTGTGAGAATTAAATGAGGTAACGCGTGTCAAACGTTTAGCGCAGTGAGCGGCACACGCCAAGTGTTCAGTGTGAGGCTGCAGCGCAGGCCCGCCCGCCTGTCCTGAGCTGCTGCTGGATGTTGCTGTTGGACTGTCGTCACGTGGGCCCGTGGACGCCCAAAGCACCGCTCCCGCTGTGCGGGTCTCTGACGCAGCAGCACACCCCTAACTCGACGTGCAGAGAAGAACTTGTTCGGATGCCGGCAGAGTAGCTGCTGTCTCCTTACTCTCCCACCGCGCCAGACATTCCAGTGTGAGTGCTGGTATGATGTGTTCTTCATGTTGCTGGAGTCCATGTAAAAAACGCATGGAAGGATTTTGCCTTATGAGCACACATGGTAGTGATTATATTGTTGAAGATCAATGGATTAACCTTGTTTCAAGTTTTATTAGATTATAGTAATGTACATTCATGTACACTTATAATCTGCCACTTGATAGCATGCTCATACACTCAAGTGTAAATATTAAAGTGATCAGTTTATGAGAACCCCTCAAAATTACATATACTATATATCTCTTTGTTAGAATTTTTAACTTTTCAGCAAATACCAATAAGTGCTATTGAACAAGTGAATTTTGTAACATATCAAGGAATTACCAGTAAGAAAATATGTTTTTGTGTTGGGAGGGTTGCTTTTTTAATAGAATAATTTAAATTGATTATAATTAATTTATGCAAGTAGTTTGCCTTGATCTATTTTAAAAAATTGAGGTAGCATATAAAAACCATATGATAAAAAGTATGTAAGCAGAACAAAAATTTGAGGTGGCATGTAACAACACTATGATAAAAACTATGTCAATACAAGCAAAATAAAAAATCAGGAAAAAAGACTACCACAAATAGATTTATTATAAACTCAGCATAGCTTTTATAATTAACTTTCAGATTTTGTTTTGAGTTCCATAGTAGTCAAAATGGTGTATAGGATCTTATTTCTTGGCAAGAGGAGGTATGTCAGTTACCCAAAAAAAGCTTAGCATTTCTTAGCACTGAATTCTAAAAGCACTTTCTCATGTGAGTTACTGTCACAACATTTTAGTAGCAAGTTCAATAACATTTCCCAGGACTGCCTCTGGTGGTGTCATTAAGTTAGTTGTTTTTATATAGAAATAAGAGTGTGATAAGTAATTGTATGTTTTACTTTTACAGGAATCTTGGGAAACCAAAATGAGGCATAATCAGCTGTATTGTGAGACACCACCTACTGTTACTGTTCATGTAAAATCTGGGTCAAGTAGATCACATCAGCCTAAAAAACCTATTAATCTGAAGCGTCCTATTTTTAAAGATAGTAGGCCAGCATCTGAAAAAAATGTGCAGAATAGCAACAAGTCTAAACGCCCCAAAGGACCCTGTCTGGTTATACAGCGTCAGGAAATGACTGCTTTCTTTAAATTATTTGGTAGGTTTTAAATATTGAAATAATGGTAATTAGAGAGTACTTTAAAATGAGAGACTGTAAAGATTTATTGTTTTCATAGTAAAAGAAGATGATGTTATTTTCTGTCAGATTTCTCATTTCCAACCAAATCCATTTTTGTTTTACTTAGTCTTTTTAAATGTTGGGTTTTGTTTTGATTCTTTTGGATTACAAATTCAGACTCATCTTACTTCTTGACTACTTAAATCCAAGTGTCAAATGTAAATCCTGAGCAATTCAAATTCATAGCATGAGTTTTCTTTGATGTAAAGTAAAATACTATATAAACTCTCAGCCAAGCCAACTGACACAGTTTGAGGGCTTCCCAAGACTTTCAGTGCTATAACTGAGCAACCTGGGAAGGTTAGTCAAGCTAGAGAAGTTTCAGTAGTATATTTGGGAAATATTGTTAAAAATTAACCATGCTTTATTATCATGCTCACATAGTAAACATCAGTTCAAATTTGTTCAGACTATGACATAATGAGTGCTACTCTCTATGTTAAAATTTTTTTAATCACCAAAAAGAAACTTCTTTATAGTATTTTTACTGGCCAAGAAAGAGGTTTGTGGTTTTTTGTTTTTTTTTTTAATTTGTTTGTTTGTTTTGAGGTAAGGTAGAGAGTAAGGTAGACAGGATAGAGGGTAAAATAGATCCCGGTAAATCCCTGTAGGAATGCAGTCACGTAGATAATCAGAGTCTACTTGATCAAGATAAGCTTCCTTGTTTGTAGAGAAAGGCAGATGGGTGTGTAAGGAGACACTTGAGAACAAGTGTATTTTCCCTACATAGAGGACAGAAACTTTTTAAAACAATAAGGGCGAGCTGGTTACAATGAAAAGAAAAGCAAAATGAGGTAAGAATATAAAAATATAAGTAGAAAAATGTTGAACTTATGAGGATATTCCCAGTCAGGATCTATAATGCTGTTACAAGTTTGCCTCTCCATTTAAAGTAGTATAAAATTCTTACCCACAAACTTCTTTTAATATTCATAACTAATCATGAGAAATAAGAGAATATTCCTGCCTATACTGTTTTAGGTAACTTAAGAAATAAGAATTAACAAGGCAGAAATTAATTATTCTCTGAAAATCAGCACTTATTCTTGGAACTTTTCATGTATTTAATGATATCAATATGTCTAGGATGTAAAAATTAATATAAGAAAGTTATGTTTTGTTACTTAAAATGAAAGGGAGAAATGAAAACAAATTTTCTCAGATTATATTCTACAACTACCCATATATTTTGGGATTATAAAATTGAAGTAAGTGTTTTTGACCTCTTTAGATGTTATTCTCTTTGAATAGCATTTTTCCTTGTTGATCTTTTTGTCATAATTCTCAGTTGCTTTAAAATTAAATGTTCATTAGATTATGAATCCTTATATAGACATTTTCATGTGTATTGGATAATGTATAATTGGACAGAGATAAATAAGAAGAGAGAAGAATCCAAATCTAAAAATACCCTGGGACCTAAAACAAGAAAGGATAAAATATTTAGAAAAATAAAACATTAAAAATACAGTATTCATTAAGTCATTATTTTGTAAAGACTAAATTCTCTCAGCTACCATCTCCACATGTTAAAGATTGATCTTGGAAAGTAATGAATAGCTAATCTAGTACCCAAGACATCTTTCTCAAAGAGCTATTGGGATATTCAGTACATCAAACACTTCTACTATTCCTGATCCCAATCTGAGCTATACTATATTAAAGAAAATCAGATGGTAAATTGAATAATAAAGCAATAATTTTTTGAATAGAGCTTGCAATGGTAAATAAACCAAAGGACTGAAAACTACACCTCAAATAACACTGGTCCAGCCATTTTTGTTTGTTTCTAAGCATTATGTATAATTTCCTTATATAGAAATTCTTCAAAAGGAAACATTCTATTTTTAAAGGACAAGTCATATCTATCTTTTGTTGTAGATGACGATTTGATTCAAGATTTCTTATGGATGGACTGCTGCTGTAAAATTGCAGACAAGGTAAATTTAGTAACAACATAATTAACCAGCATTTTTATATTATTAGACCATCAGAACTTTAATGAAATCTTGTAAGGATTTTTTATTAAGTTTAGGAAAAGACCTACCTCGCATTGCTCCTTCAAAGTGGAATCCTTACACATTATTTTTTTTTTTTGAAATTAGCATATACCGTAGGTTAATTCTCTATTTCAAGGAGTTGTAGAATATTACTGATTAGATTTAAAAGACCTTAAGACTATATCTGTTTGAAAACAAGAAACAGTATAGACTTAATATGTTTTGACCAGAATTATTGCCATTTTTCAGGCTGTAGAGGAAGAATAGTCTGAGATTCATTCCATTAACACAGACTGTTACACATTTTAATAGTTTGTAAGTAACTTAGATAAAACAAATCCCAAAAATCTTGTAGAGCAAAATTAGCTTATCATGTTGTTTATTTAGGAATCAATGTTTCATTAAAAAATTATGCTAACTTGTATACTAGGAATTGTGATGTTTCTATACTCTAAGGATTTAGCTGAACAGTTACAATTTCAACTTTGTAAATGCCATCTTAGACCAGGTGATCATATCAGAAAATTTGGCATGACTTCACATCATACTTCATGTGCCAACTAATAAAAGAGGGAATAAATGGAAGACTAGCTTATGATTAAATACTCACTAAGTTATTACTAGTATGAAATTTTTTAAATTTCAGGTTTAAGGTAACAGAGATAAAATTGGAGAATCTGCCCTGGCTGGTGTAGCTCAGTGGATGGGCTCGGGCCTGCGAACCACACGATCGAGGTTCGATTCCCAGTCAGGGCGCATGCCTGGGTTGCAGGCCAGTTCCCAGCAGGGGACTCATGAGAGGCAACCATACATTGATGTTTCTCTCCTTCCCTTCCTCTCTAAAGATAAATAAATAAAATCTAAAAAAAATTGGAGAATCTTTTCTTAAGTTTGGAAAATTTCAACCATACACAACTTAGAGTAGAGATGAAAACAAAGACTCTCCGTGTGCCTATCCCACTATAACAATCAAGTACTGACCATCCTTTTTTAAAAAAATCCTTACTGGAGGGATATGTTTATTGACTTTAGAGAGAGAGGGTAGGGAGAGGGAAAGAGAGAGGCAGACAGACAGAAACATTGGTCAGTTGCCTGCTGTGCAGGGATTAGACCCCCAACCTAGGTCTGCGCTCTATTTCAACAAGGAATAGAACCCACATCCACTTGGTCTTTCAGACAGCGTTCCAGCCAACTGAGCCACCTGGCCAGGGTCTGTTGACTATTCTTGTTTCTCCCAATCACTTTCCCCAAAAGCAAATCCCAGGCATCCAATATTTTATCCGTTAAGTGTTTCAAGATAAACACTTAATGGATGGTGATACCATGTCTAAAACATGGTATCTTATTAAACATCATCACAATGTCACCAACACTTTTAAAAATTAATGGTACTGCCTTAATACCAAATATCTAATTCATGTGGCATTGTTTTAAACTTTATGATTTTAAGGCATTACAGTAATGAAAGTTGTTGGACAGCAGGGGGCAGTGCTTTTAAACTAACTAACCAGGAGCACTGTATTTTAACACTATTTCAAGAGTCCTCTACTGAAAATTACATTAAAAACTTGGAATTTTTTTATGGCCAATCTTGTAAGACAAATAAGCATTTTATGAGAGAAAATCTGATACATCAGTATTACAACTTGTTTTTAAGTTAACAGCCAGAACCTGGCATAGTGTGCAAATACCAGGCTAGATATGTTTTTTAATAGTCAATTTAAAACACTATTCTTCAATGAAAATAAAACCATATTATCCTAATTTTTTTGGAGTTATTTTTTAAATTATCTTAAAAAGTGAATATGAATGTCTGTAACAAAGGATTCAGGGGAAAATTGTATATACATATACATCAAGCCAATGTGGTAACGTATTAACAATTGGTGAATCTAGGTGTAGGATGTACATTTATTTATTTTACGATTATTTCAACTTCTCTATAGGTTTTAAATTTAAGATAGGAAAAAAATGGGTTATTGGTCACAAAAATCTTGGCAATAAAATTTAGGAGTTCATTCTAGTTATAATCTTAGTCATGATAAATGATTATGAAACTGTTCACATGGACTACAGGGAGCCAAAAAACAAGGACTCAAATAGGTAATTCTATAAGAATAAATAATACTTAACTGTTTTAGCCTATTATTGTTCTTAAAGGTAACTATATTAAAGTACTTTTACTTATGAAAGCAATACACTAATATTAACTTTTAATTTTTTCCCTATAGTATCTTTTGGCTATGACCTTTGTTTATTTCAAGAGGGCTAAATTTACTATAAATGAGCATACAAGGATAAATTTCTTCATTGCTCTGTAAGTATGCTTTCTACTAAGTGATTTTTGTGTGGTAGTTTTTTATAATATATATGATAATTTATTTAAAACAGCTTGTTTTAAACCTTATATATATTTTTGAATAGACCTTCCTATATAAAAGCTATACATTTTTTACTTTAACAGAATATTTTGTTCTTTTTGCTGATCTTATTTTGCTTTCTGCCCAAGATTTATTATTAAATATTCCACTTGAATTTGATTGTACTTTTTGTATTTTTCAGAGTGTTTTTTGTAAATTGTCCCAAATTTTCCTCTTTTGGACTATTTTTTTTTAAGCCAGGATGTTTTCTTTGAAATTTCAAGTTAATATATAATAAAAATCATTATCATCATTGTTCTTTTACATTGAACAACTTGCAGAAAATGCTCTGGACGTATTCATTGTGGATTTCTGTCTATAACATAGGAGTTATTCATATCTGATACCTATAATGTACTCTCATTGTTTCACCTAACACATTGTACTTTGACCAAGGCATATTGTTTTTCAATTCTTCCACTGACTTTTTATTAGACAGCTTAAACTAGTTTTGTGATCTGGCAAATGGTCTTAATGACATGGCTTTCCAATCTGTAGGTCAAAATTCTGCTAGAATCAATGTAAATTAAAAATATGTATCTCAGTCTCAAAACCTGTTCTACCCAGTACCTGGATATAGTACTGCAGTTGGAAATGTATGAATATAATTTGAAGTATTTAAATAAAGAACTACATATAAAAATATTTAAGGTGAATACCACAACTGTTAGAACTAAAGGATAATTATTTACTCAAAGTCTCTTTAGTTCAGACTCAAAGGATTTGATCTCTGCATGTATTCAGGAAACACATTTCCCCATGCGTGGGGAAAAGTAAATTCAATATAAAATTTGGTGATGATTGCTAAATTGAGGGAATATAATAGTATTAGTTAATACTGAGTATTATGTGTAAGGCACCACAAAAGTTTTTATAAGCTCATTTAATCTTCACTATGAGACACATTTTTTTTAATTAACCCCATTTTACAGATAGGGAAATTAAGGCTTAGATTAAGCACTTTCCAAGATCACAAGTTAGTAAGCATCAGAGCTGGAGCACAAATTCATGTGTGACTTGCCAGTGGTCGGATTCAGCCATTGACCACTAGCTGTAATGCTGTTTACATGTCTCTTAGTATTGCATTATATTTGTATGTTGGTGCATTATCTATTTTGTAGTTTTTTCGCATCTGAAAATTAACAACAAACCAAAAGAAGCTTTAGTTTAAGTCTTACTGGATCCTTGAAATTGGATTTGTTTGACTTTTTAAAAAAAGTTATTATCAGTAAAGCACTGTATCACCTTACACTGTAAGGAGTCTGTGAGGTTGTATTACATGTTGTATTATAAGCCTCATATTAAAAATAACATGGATTATAATTTTTATTTTTTATATAATCATATTTTTGTATAGTCTGACTCAATAGTTGTTCTCCATATTTTCTTAGTTAGTCACAGTTCTAACTCAAGTTCTTTTCCTTTCTATACTTTTAACACTGAACTCAATTATTGTTCTTCCTTATCTCTTTTACAGTTATTTGTTTCAAGTCAAGCCTCTTTGACTTGACTGTAGGCTCTTTAAGGGCAAGGAGCATGTATCTTACCTGTTTTGCATCCTTACCTTTTTTGTATTGCTAACATACAAGAGGTTCTTAATTCTTTATTTGAATAAACATAATTAACTATTGTACCAAAAAACTGGACTTTGCTCCAAGGAAATGTTAACTATTTCAAATTGGAAGGGAACTTATATGTATATGATGCACATATTTCAACACACTGAACCTGAAAAATTGTTAATCTAGAGTAGCATCATGATGTCCAGACATCGTGTACAATAGTACATTATAGATTTTCCACATTTCACTTAGTAAGTATGAAAGGGACTAATCTCCCATTCTGTCTTCTCTTTACTAAGAACTATTAGGGAGCCCTGGATGGTGGGGCTCAATGGATTGAGCACTGGTGTGTAAACTGAAATGTCACTGGTTTGATTCCCAGCCAGGGCACTTGGCTGGATTTTGGGCCAGGTCCCCAGTTGGGGGTGATTGAGAGGCAACTGATCAACATTTCTGCCACACGGTGCTTCTCTCTCTGTCTTTCTCCTTCCGTTCCTCTCTCTCTAAAAGCAAATAAATAAACTCTTAAAAAAAAAACTATCAGGGATACTAAAAGTAAGAAGTTACTTTAGGTAACTTTACAGAGGACAGAATTTGACTCATGTAAATAAATGGGCTTAACAATAAGATGCTTTATAATAAAGTAACATTAAAATATGTACAGTTGTTTTAAAGAAGGGTAAATAATATGTAGTTACTCATTTTATAATTAATATAACTAAATATGAATATGTACATGGTTTTAAAACGTACGTAAGAGTGTATGCAATTAAGAGTAAGTCTTCTTCCTATCTCAAGACCTTGGCCTCCCTCCTCAAGGACAATTAACTGTTTCATGTGTATCTGTCTAGAAATAATTTTCAATACATGAACCAGTATGTATATTACATGAATAGAAGGGTATTCTATCCTTCTGTACCTTTAAAAATTTTTTAATGTTAAAATATGTACAAAACAGCACACGGTATGTGTAGCTGTAGTTCCTTTTTATTACAGAATAATATTCTATTGTTACTTATATATTTGACTTTTTTTCTACCATCTTGTTCTGTACTTTCTATGTGTCCCATTTTTACCTTTTCTTCTTTCCACTCCATTGTTACCTGTTTTTTTGTTGAGATTTTTAAATTTTTATTTTCTGATACCATTTTTGCCTCTAGTTGTTTAAATGCTATGCAGTCTATATCTATTCTTTTAGCAATTACTCTAGTTTTTTTTCAAAGATTTTATTTATTTATTTATTTAAGGAAGAAAGGAAGGGAGAGAGGGAGAGAAACATTAGTGTGCAAGAGATACATCAGTTGGTTGCCTCTCACATGTTCCCAACTAGGGACCTGGCCAGCAACCCAGGCACGTGCCCTGACTAGGAATCGAACCAGTGACCTTTTGGTTCACAGGCCAGTTTGCAGGCCTGTGCTCAATCCACTGAGCCTCACAAGCCAGGGCACCCTAGTTATTTTTAATCACAGAACCTTAAGCATTTAATGCCAATCATCTCCTTTCCCAACTATATTTTCTTGTTTTGCAATTCTATAGTTCTCTCTGATGCCCAGAAAGTACTATTGTTTTATACATTCAACATTTGTTTATATAGACCCACATATTTATATCTTTGCTTCCTATTCCTTCTTGTATCTCAAACCTTCCACTTAGGATCATTTGTCTTCTTTTCTGACTGCTTTTAAGACCTCTTTTTCTTTGGTGTTTATCTACTAATTCCAGTGTCTTCAAACTTCAGGGTCTGTTTCTCATCACGATACCTTAAGTGTCTTGTAGTTTTTTTATTGTAAGTTCATTTTTCTGGAAAGTCATCAAGGGGGCTTGCAGATGTTTCCAATAGGAAATCTGCTCCATTCTCATTTATTTTCTGTATCATTCAACTTACTTTTTTTCCTGACTGCTTTTAAGATTTTTTCTTGATCATTCATTTTGAGTGATTTTATTATGATGTGTCTTGTGCTTTGGGCTTTAAGGAGCTTCTTTATGGGTTTATGATCTCCATCAAATTTTTTAAATTTTAGCCATTTATTTCTTCAGATATTTGTTTCTGTTCACTGCCCTCTTATGGACTCCAATTTCACTTTTTTTAGGAACTTGAAGTTGTCTCATGGTTCATTGATACTGTTTATTATTTTTGTTTATTTTTCTCTGCATGTTTAATTTTGGATAGTTTATACTGTTATGTTTTTAATGCACAAATATTTTCTTCCTCAATATTTAATTGGCTATTAATTCCACAGAGTGTATTTTGTACACATTGTACACATAGTTTTCATCTCTAGAAGTGTGTCTTCTTATCTTTTTGAACATCTGAAATAGTTATAACTGTTTTAATGTTCTTGTTTTTACTTCTACTATGTGTGTCAGTTTGATTAATTAATTGTTCTTCTTATTATGGGTTGTGTTTGCCTGCTTCTGTGTATGCCTGATTCCACTCAAGCATTTGGCAGGACACTGGTTTTCATTTGTGTATAATGACATTACCTGATCGTGACGAAAGACCATAAGAAAAGATTAGAGGGAACAGTGCCTAACATTTACCCAGGGCTGGAAAATAGTATCTGTTCTAGCCAGACTGAAAAATCGTGTAATTCATAGGATGTTGAATGGAGTATTTAGGAAGGTCTTGCCTCACTAGTGGGGGATAACTATCCCTAGACTGAACGTTGCTCCAGATCTACCTAACAAATCATAAAAGCAAGACTTGAAAGGTTCAGACTGTTTCCAAGAAACTGCATCCCAGAACAAAGCTCAAGAGTTATAGGAATACACAAATATTTAGAACTTATTAAGGAAAATTCACTGTATCTCTATTTTTGAGCTATTATTTCTTTAATTATGAGTAAGGCTGAACATCTTTTAATGTGTTTATAGTGATATGCATTGTTTTTAGTGAACTGCCAATTCCTGTCCTTTATCTATTTCTTTCTTCTTGAGTTGTTGGTCTTCTTTGTTAGGTACCTGGCTAATACAGTAGAAGAAGATGAAGAAGAATCCAAATATGAAATATTTCCCTGGGCATTAGGGAAAAACTGGAGAAAATTGTTCCCTAATTTCTTAAAGTTAAGAGACCAACTCTGGGATAGAATTGACTATAGGGCTATTGTAAGCAGGCGATGCTGTGAGGAGGTAAGATTTTGAAATATATATGTATATAATCTCTGTATCCTGTTCATATAATTTTCCTTGTCTTATTTTTTAATGTGCTTTGAACATTTTAGTTTTTGTATATATAAGGGTAGACCATTAACTTGATGGTTACCATGAACATGTGTATTATGATGTTTATGTTTTAATTTTGTACCACAAGAATTTAAAATTACCATTTGTGTTTTTCAGAGCAGCCTATTTCTGTAGTATTTTTATTTTAGTGTTTAGTTTCTCTTGTCTAAAAGAACACCAGTATATTGAAAAAGGATACTGTGCATATTTCAAAATATCACTGGGGTTGAATAATAATTTTCATTAAATAAATTATCTAAAATTTCAAGTCCCTAAGACTGAAATATGAATTGCATGATATAAAATGTTTATAAATTTAAATATGTTTAGAAAACATTCCTTTTTTCACATAGAACACATGGTTTCCTTAATGCCAGATTTTATTAAGATAAAGCAGAAAGACTAAAAATTAAAAGATTGATTATTTTATCTAATGCTCTGGTGTTCAATAAAGGATAAAATTAATGTTTCAAGCTAAAAAAATAATAATAGAGTAGAAAATTAAATGAAGGTAGTGATCACTGTAAGCCAGTACTAGTTCAGAAAAGTTTGGTAAATCTGAGCCAGATAATGCTAGAATTAAATGAAATCATATCCATTAAATAGACTATACACCCAAACAGACAATGGATTCATGTCAAACCTGAGGGAGAACTTTGGGGTGTGTCACAAAACTCTTCCCAGAACTAATCATATTAATTATATTTATTAATTAGATAAATATATAGGAAGTATGCATATCTGTAGATTAATTAGGAGGATTGTTGAATGTTGAGAAAAATGCAAGGATTCAGAGATAACTTAGAAAACTGTACAGCGGGCCAAGTCTTTACAAGATTATATTCAATAGAAAAATATAAAAAATTGGGTGTATAAGGTCCCCATAATTTAAGGATCCTCATTAAGGAAAGGGTTTATATAACTCATTCCAATTACAGGGCATTGAAAGAGTCCTGTATCGTTATTTTTGTCACTACCTCTCCATGTCAAGAGGGGTAATTTGTGCACCTCTTGCCATCCTTTCAAGTGACAGTCCAAGCGAGGCCTTATTTGGACACTCACATTTTTTTTCAATGCAAACACTTCAAGCCCATGGAAGATTCAGCTAAGAGCATGGAGGGGGCACAAGAAGCAAGAGGCCAGGATTGACAACACCCACCTCATGGCAGGTTGTTCACCTACCCCTAAGATATAATGACCAGTATTTTTTAAATTGCAACAACTTTAATTTACACTATTGGAGTTGGAATTACCATAGTTGCTGCCACCAGACTATTAAAGAGCCAGAGAATGGAGTGACTTAATGGTGCATGTGTAAAAGATTAAAAAGTTTCAGGCAGCTATAATCTCAGTTGTGTAATGGGATTCACAGAAAAGTTTAGTTTCTCAAGGATTCAACATGGAGACCTAACAGATCTCTGCACTAATTTCAGATCTACATATCAAATTTCCTATTTGTATTTCATTATCTAGTAGATACCTCAAACTTAACATACTAAAAATTGAATTTTGATTCCCCTAAATAGACTTTCAGACCTGCTCCTTGTGCAATCTTCCACATGTGCAAACTTGTGCAAACTTGTGCAAACTTCCACAAGTTAAGAAATGATAACTTCATCCTAGTTGTTCAGGCTAGAAAGCTGTCACCCTAGACTTTTCTTTTTCTTGCATTGATATCTTAAAAAAAAAATAACTGGCCCTGGCTGGTGTGGCTTAGTGGATTGAGCACCGGCCTGCAAACCAAAGGGTCACTGGTTTGATTCCCAGACAGGGTACATGCCTAGGTTGCGGGCCAGGTCCTCAGTAGGGGGTACTCCAGAGGCAGCCACACATTGATGTTTATCTCCCTCTCTTTTCCCCTACCTTCACCTCCCTAAAAATAAATTTAAAAAATCTTTACAAATATCCAGCCTCTTCCCTGGCCTGTGTGGCTCAGTTGGTTTAGCTTCATCCTGTTCACTCCACTCCAACCATAGTGGCCTCCTTGCTGTTTCTCAAACACACCAAGGGCATTCCCACTTCAGGGTCTTTGTATTTGCCACTCCCATTACCTGGAATGGTTTCCCCCAGATATTAGTATATTTTACTTCCTCACTTCATTCAGGATGCCACTTAAATGTTAACCTCAGAGAAACTTTTCCTTACCACCCTCTATTGAATAGTGTCTCACTCACTGGAATACATAGATGAGTTCAAAAATAAATGCTCACATTTATGTTCAGTTGAATTTTGACAAGGGTACCAACAAAATTCAATAGGGAAAGAGCAGTCTTTTTAATAAATGGTGCTGGGATAACTAGGTATCCACATGCAGAAGAATGCAGTTGGACCCTTACTTTATATCATACATAAAAGCTAATTAAAAATGGATCAAAGACCTAAATGTAAGAACTAAAAACTCTTAAAACATAGGGGCAATTCTTCATGACCTTGGATTAGGTTTCTTAGATATGATACCAAAAGCACAAGCAAAAAAAGAAAATACAAAGTGTTTTTTCTTAATTGTCCATAATATCCATATTGTCCTTAATTGTCTTAAATGTCCATAATTTAAATTGTGACATCATCACAATTTAAAATGCCTTTCAAGCGGGCTGTGAACCAAAGGGTTGCTGGTTCGATTCCCGGTTGGGGCACATGCCTGGGTTGTGGGCTGGGTTCCCAGTGGGGACCATGTGAGGAGCAACCACACATTGATGTTGCTTTCTCTCTTTCTCCCTCCCTTTCCCTCTCTCTAAAAATAAGTAAATAAAATCTTTAAAAAAATAAAATGTCTTTCAAAGGACAACATCAAGAAAATGAAGATAACGCACAAAATGGAAGAAAATTTTTGCAAACCATGATAAGGGATTTGTATCTAGAATATAAAGAGCTCTTACAACTCAATAATAAAAAAAAACCCAATTTTAAAATGTGCAGAGGATCTGAATAGGCATTTCTCCAAAGAAGATACACAAATGGGCAAAAAAAAAAGCACATAAATAGATGCTCAATATCATTAGCAACCGGAGAAATGCAAAATCTAAACCACAAGAAGGTATTACTTCACACCCACTAGGATGGCTGTCAGAAAAAGACAGATAATTACAAGTGTTGGTAAGAATGTAGAGAAATCCAAACCCTTACATACTTCTGTTGGGAATGTAAAATGGTGTAGTTGCTTTGTAAAACAGTCTGACAGTTCCTCAAAAACCTGAACATATAGTTCCACGTGACCCAGCAATTCTACTACTAGTTATGCAGTTAAGAAATAAAAACTGTGTCCATAAAAAACTTGAACACAAATGTTCACAGAAGCATTATTTACAATAGTCAAAAGAGGAAACAATCCAGATGTCCAACAGCTAATGAGTAGATAAACAATGATATATCCATACAATGATATATTTGGCAATTAGAAGGAATGAAGTAATATGCTACAACATGGATGAAACATGAAAATGTGCTAAGTAAAAAAAGCCAGTCACAAAGGACCACACATTGTATGATTCTTAGTTATATAAACTGTCCAGAATAGACAAACTTAAAGAGATAGAAAGTAGATTAGTGTTTGCCAGCGGCTGAGGGAGGGAGAAATGGGATGTGACTGCTTTCTTTATGATGAAAGCATACATCATAAAGATGATGAAAATGTTCTAAAATTGACTGTGGTAATGGTTGTGGAACTATGAATATACTACAAGCCATTAAGCTGTACTCCTTAAATGGGTGAATTGTATGGTATTTGAGTAATATCTGAATAAAGCCAGTAAAATAGCAAGTAGTACCTCCCACTATTATCATATATTCCTTTTTGTATTTTTCTTCATAGCACTTAATCATCACATAACATATTCTGTTTTACTTATTTATCTTGTCTACTTCCCCTACTTGTATATAAAATCCGGAGGGCAGGGTCTTTACTTTTTTCTTATTATATCTCCAGTGCTTGGCATATAGTAGATACTGAGCAAATACTGCTGACTGACAGAATGATTGAAACTTAAGGCTTCCAATTCTTTTTCATACCTGTTTATGCATGAAAGAGGAAAAAAATTTTTTCCTCTTACCTTTTCATGGAGCTCACTTAGCACTTACCCTAGTGGCAGATAGGCTTTTTTCCCCTCTTCCAACCAGATATACTTGAATTGAATCATGTTGATGTATAGGAAAGGCAACTACCTAGTAAGATTTTATCCAGTTCTCTTAAGTATTCATTCAACAGCTAACTTATGACTAAGACACCAAGTTCAGTGTTTATTATAAAGAAGTATTACATCATCCTTGCCCTGAAGTTTGCTGCATTAAAGTAGCAAGACACGCTTACAAATTTAGTTAAGTATTCTAGGCATTTGTTATTGAGAGTCTGGTACTGACATACTGTCAAGCCAGTTCTTTTTTCCATATTGTACAATAAAACTGTTATGATAGTAGCTACTAAATGGTTTGTAATAATAATACCCTATATTTGCATTATACTTATAAATTCATAAATATTTTCCTATATGTTCACAAAAATGCCTGTGAGGGTTTCAGTATTCTCATTTTAAAGCTGGTAAAACAGGATCAACAATGTTGAGATTTATTCAAGATCTTACACTAATTGTCAGAGTCAGAACTTGACCTCACAACTAAGGACTTCACAGTGTTGTTTTCTCTTACATCTAGCCTCCACCTCTCATTGACTAGTTTAGAAAATACATTTACTTCTGTTATGTCACTTTGTCTCAGGAATTAAACAGCGTAAGTATTCTCCATTTTACAGATGAAGAAACTGACATAGAAAAGGTTGTGACTTATCCATGGTTATTCAGTTAGTAAGTAGCAGGGCCAGCTAGTACTTAAATTTGGTGCTCTTTCCATTATACACCGTCAAAAGAACTTATTCTTTCCTTGAGATAATGTGAATTTTGTAATTTGCCTCCTATTATTTGAAACCTGGCTGCTGCAGAGAAACTAAGAGCCAACTTGTATTCTTACATTAACTCTTACCCTTTATTACTAGTATGTCTGCTTTCCCACTTTAGGTATATTTTCCCTTTTGGGTCCTATTAAATGAAAAAAAATTTTCATTTGCTCTTTTTTTAAAGCTGTCTCAAATCCTTTTTTGGAAAGAGATGAGGAATGATCAAATTGAAAAATGTATGTAGGGCCCTGGCTGGTGTGGTGGATTGAGTGCCCACTTGAGAACCAAAAGGAAACCAGTTTGATTCCCAGACAGGTCACATGTGTGGGTTGTGGGCCATGAACCCAGTAGGGGGCGTGTGAGAGACAACCACACATTGATGTTTCTCTCCCTCTCTCTCCTTCCCTTCTCTCTAAAATAAATGAATAAAATCTCTTAAAAAATAAGAAGAAAAATGTATGTAGGGAGTCTCCAAAAAAGAATAAAGAATATTTCAACCTACTTATTTTGATCTTAACTTCTTAGAACCAGTTTATCTTTTTGGACATCAGCCCCTCTGAGGTAGAATTTATTTAGGTTGGTGATAGCTTAATTTCTAGATTGGTTCACAGATACGGAGAATGCCAATCTGATGAGAAAGAGTTAGACTCCAGTAGCAGTTTTATCAAGAGGAAGTTTATTTTTGTTATGTACTCTGTCCTAGTTGGCACAATATCATCATAACTGATTTCTCTGTCCGCTATTACTTGATTCCAGATTAGGAATTTAGAAAGAAAGCAGTGATGCGATGTAAGCACTGCTATGAAGAAAATAATCCAATGACAGTATGCAGAGAGGCCCAATACAGGGGAGGTGCTAGACAGTGCTACACTTGCTATAGGTCAGAAGCAAGGTATAAGCCCAGTGCCAAAGAAAAGTGAGTGTTACAGAGTTATTATTGGTGACCAGTTGGATATATGGCACATGGGGGGATGAGCTGTCAGTTTCAAACCTACATAACAAAAACAGTGATGGGTTCCATAATGCAAACTGGCTTATGAGGATGATAAAGAATTTGGTATTAGATATAAATTTAAGGTGATAATTGGATAATTAAGAGAATGGTCAATAGGTATGAGTAAAATGAGTCATAACATTCAAGTGATGTTTAAAGCTTGGTTGAGAAGAGATCCAAAGCGACAGTAATATTAATACTTTTGATCAACTTGCCAGGCACTGTTCCAAGTGCTACACATGTATTAACCCACAATTCTTACAGCCAGCTAGGTAATCCCAGGTGAGAAAATTGAAGCATAGAGAGGCTCTGTGACTTCTCCAAGGTCACACAATCAGTAAAGCAGCACAGCTTTATTCAAACCCAGGCAGTCTGATTGCAGTGCTGTTAAGACTTATACTATCTCTTGAGGTTACAGAGAAGTAGATATACACAGAAAAAAGCCCAGAAGGCCAAGTATTGTATTTTACAAACACCCACCAAAGGCACAAAAAAATCACTAGAAATTACAGAAGAATAAGATAAAGTAAAAACTAGGATAACATTTCTTATAGGTCAAATACCAATGCTTCAGAGTAGTCACTTTCATAGAATCATAGAATCTGATGACTGTAAGTGACCTGTTTTCTAACATATAATAGACACCCTATGGCCCAGAAAGTTATGTAATTTACCTAAGATCATAGAGCTAATAGAATTAAGACAAAAATCCTGCCCTCTTGACCCTGGTACAATACTGTTGTGTATAAAATACATTTATATTATAGTGTATATTTAAAAGTAAACAAGCAAGTGTGCATGCATTGTTCTAGCTGAATTAGCATGTGGAGAGACTATGATGCTTAGTTTATTGCAGAATGAACAGTTTACCAAACCTACTTTGTACCCTTTACTTCATATTTCCCTCTGCTATTCTCACTAGACTTTGCTATAAGATTCCTACAAAAATAACATTATTGAAGGCTCATAATATTAGTGGTCTCTAGTTCTTAATTTTTCTCTGTCATTCAAATATTTAATGACTGTATAATATTGTGTGGAGGGCATTTGAAAGAGAGATACATGAGACTATTCCTGCACAAAGGGGACTTTCAGGAGGATGGGATACATGTATAAAGAGATCTGAGTACATCTGAGTACTAGACAATTATATGCTCAAAGTCCTAATACAGCATTAACAATAAAACAAACAATCTGAAAGCTGGAGTTTTTAGAAAGGCAGGAGTTATGCTGAACATTGAGGGAAAGGTGACACTGAGACAAGGGGAGAGGCCACTTCAGACATGGTAAGTAAAGCTATTGAAGTGTTGAGGAGAAATAATAGAGAAATATAGAAGGAGTAAGGAATTCTGGTATTCTACTCTCTCAGGTAGCTCTGAATCTAGTTTTATATTGTTAAAGATACGTTTATAGAGTTAACACCTTTATTTATTTCTATCTTTTAAAATATGTGTAATTGTATTGTCTTTGGTTGAAAACTTTTTTGAAGGATTTAAAAGAAGTGGATTATAAAAGAAATTCAATCCTAAAGTATACTTTTTAAAACTTTCTTTAAAGCAATTTCTTTAAAGCAATTCTTTATGTCACCTCAGGAAGGCTACAATAATCCCACTTTCCTGGGGGACTGGCCTTAATCTAGGGGTTTCAAGGTATTTATTTTTTTAACAGCAAAAGCTGTTTTTCTTTCCAAATAAAAATTTACATATAATCCCCCAAATCGAACTTCTCTGCCTGCTCTGTTTTCTTTAGCCCCTCCTAAAATCCCCCAAATAGACTGTGAAACCTCAAGGCTCCTCAAAGCAGTTTGAAAATCACTAGTCTAGACAATTAATAGGGCACTAACGCTTAGATTCTACAGTTTTCACTCACTGTGGGTCACTAATAACTGCAGCTAAACATTTTTTACTAGAAGTAACATTCTAACATTCTGCTTAGGAGTTTTAGACATCATGAGGTCAGCATATAGATACCTAGCTTGGCTTAACTAGCTAGCATTTGTCAATTGTTTATGATGTGACACAGATTTTACATCTATCTAGTCCTCAGAACAATCCTATGAGGCAGATACGATCTCCATTTCAGATATAAGGAAATTGAACCTCTGAAAGGGTAAGTAACTTGCCCAGTATCATGCAGCTAGCATGTGGGAGTCAGGATAAGAAAGTACGTCCATCCTGACTATAAAGGCAATGTTTCTTCATCTAACAAAACTTAGACAACAATGCCTGACATGTAGTGAGGAATCTTAAGTGCTTTATAAATAATTTATGTAATACTCAAAACAACCCTCTAAAATAGACATATTCTCTTCATGTTACATATGAGGAAACTGAGGAACAGAAAGGTTAAGTAACTTACCTGTGTTCTTTCTACATCCCTTGCCATAATTGCAAACATTTTAAGATTCGCCTAACATATATTTGGAAACCTCAATTAATTGTATTTTCAGCTCAGTGCACTCCAAAGTTAATAATTGTTTTGGGATAACTATATTGTCTTTTATATTGTCTTAAAGTATTCAGAATTAAAAAACCCAAGAAAGTTGCTTCGGTCCTATTTCCTATTTTCAATAATTTAAGTACTTTCAGTTATTGTCTTAAGGATCCAAGCAATGAATCACTTTATAGGTAAATACTGCCATATCTGGAGATGCTTTTTTTCCAACATCAATAACTTAGATTTTTAAATCTAGTTTTAGAGATAGCTGTTCTTAAGTTACAGTTTTTGTACTTAATTTTGTACTAAGTTCTAAAAACTTATTAAAATTCTAAAAGAAAGCTTTCCACTATAGGTTATGGCCATTGCTCCAACCCATTATATATGGCAACGAGAACGCTCTGTTCATCACAGTGGAGCTGTTAGAAACTACAACAGAGATGAAATTCAACTGCCCCGGGGACCTAGTGCCACACCAGTAGATTGCTCACTCTGTGGTAAAAAAGGAAGATATGTTAGACTGGGATTGTCTTCGTCATCATCTTCATCCAATGATACAGTACAGGTGATGGAAAAACATTCTCAGGAATCACACAACCCATTCTCAATGGGCATGATAGTTGATCCTTCTCAAGCTTATAGCTGTTTTCAAGGTATGATTTAGTGATATGTCAGAATTAGATTTATGCAAATTTTTAATAAATCCAAGTTAGTTGTTGACCTATAGGCAGTCCTTAATAGTCAGGGAAATAGTAATATATACTACAACACTGTGAATTAAATCAGTATTGAGAGTTTTCCCCTTTTCAGATACTTTTTGTCTTGTGTTACTGTTTCTGTTGGTGCCTTACCTAAACTAAAAGATATTTAACATGATTTATGTTAAAGTGAAATTTAATCACCATGGGTCCCAAGTATTTTAGGTAGTATTTTAAGAGCATTTGAAATGTTTTTTATTTTAATTTTTGTTTATTGATTTGAGAGGCGGTGGGAGACAAAGGGAGAGAAAGAGAAGAGAAACATTGATTTGTTCCATTTATACATTCATTGATTGATATTTGTATGTGCCTTGCCTGGGGATTGAACCTATAACATTGGTGTATTGGGATGAAGCTCTAACTAACTAAACTACCCAAACATAAATAAAATGTTTATTTTATTCAGAAGAAATTTTAAGAAGAAAATAAATTCACTTATAATTTAATCATCTAGTTTTATCAGTGATTAATTATTGGTTTCCTTCTATATTTTGTGAAATATATTTTATTGATTATGCTATTACAGTTGTCCCAATTTTTTCTCCCCTATACCCCTCTCCACCCTGCAACCCCCACACTCCAGCATTCCCCCCCAAACCCTTAGTTCACATCCATGGGTTATACATATAAATTCTTTGGCTTCTCCATTTCCTATTCTATTCTTGACCTCCCCGTCTATTTTGTACCTACTATTTATGCTTCTTATTCCCTGTACTTTTTTATTCCATTCTCCCTCTCCCCTCCCCACTGATAACTCTCCATGTGGTCTCCATTTCTGTGATTCTGTTCCTGTTCTAGTAGTTTGCTTAGTTTTTGTTTTTGTTTTTTTAGATTCAGTTGTTGATAGTTGTGAGTTTGTAATTTTGCTCTTCATATTTTTAACCATCTTCTTTTTCTTAGATAAGTCCCTTTAACATTTCATGTAGTATGGGCTTGGTGATGATGAACTCCTTTAACTTGACCTTATCTGGGAAGCCCGCCCATTCTAAATGATAGCTTTGCTGCATAGAGTAATCTTGGATGTAGGTCCTTGCTTTTCATGACTTTAAATCTTTCTAGCCCTTTCTTGCCTGTAAAGTTTCTTTTGAGAAATCAGCTGATAGTCTTATGGGAACTCCTTTGTAGGTAACTCTCTTCTCTTGTTTTGCTGCTTTTAATATTCTCTCTTTGTCATTAATCCTTGGCAATTTAATGATAATGTGTCTTGGTGTGTTCCTCTTTGGATCCATCTTGTTTGGGACTCTCTGAGCTTCCTGGACTTGCATGTCTAGTTCCTTTACCAGACTGGAGACGTTTTCCTTCATTATTTGTTGAAGTAAGTTTTCAATTTCTTGTTCTTCCTCTTCTCCTTCTGGCACCCTATGGTTCAAATGTTGGAATGTTTAAATTGTCTCAGAGGTTCCTCAACCTCTCATTTTTCTGAATTCTTGTTTCTTCATTCTGTTCCAGTTGGATGTTTATTTCTTCGTTCTGGTTTAAGTCATTGATTTGAATCCTAGTTTCCTTCCCTTTACTGTTGGTTCCCTGTATATTTTTCTTTATTTCACTTTGCATAGCCTTCAGTGCTTCATTTTGCAACTGAACTCTCATTTCTGTGAGCATCCCGATTACCAATGTTTGAACCCTGCATCAGATAGGTTATCTGTCTCCTCGTCACTTAGTTCCTTTTCTGGAGTTTTGATCTGTTTTCTTTTGAGCCATATTTCTTTGTCTTGGAATACCTGTTGGGTTGTAAGGGGCAGAGCCTTAGGTATTAGTCAGGGCTGGTAATCCACAATGCTGCATTGTGGCACTGTATGTGGGGGTGGGATCAGAGAGGGAACAATGCTGCTTCCTATCTTCCTTGGCTCTCACCCCACTTTCAGTCACTTCCTCTGCTTCTCACAATTGGATTGTGCCCTTTCAGGTATTGATTCTAGGTGGGTGGGCTTGTGTACGTTCTAGGACCCCATGGGCCTCTCCAACAGACTCTGTTGTGAGGCTGGGAATTTCTCCCACTGCTGCAACCACCGCCAGTTTTTACAGCCAGAGTTTTTGAGGCTTTATTTCCCCATGCTGGGACCCTCAGTTGTGTGGTTTGTCTTGTTCCCCAGTTTGTCCTCCCAGTTTATTCACAAGCAAATGAATAAAGGCAGCCCTTCCGCTGCCTTGCTGCAAGTCCTCTCTACCCCAGCTTCCTGTCTCCACCCCTCCTACCAGAGTGGATACATGTTTCTTTAACTCCTTGGTTGTCAGGCTTCCATGCAGTTTGGTTTTCTGGCAGTTCTGATATTTTTTTTTATTCTAAATTGTTTTTTTCCTTCCTTTGGTTCTGCAGGGAAGTGTTTCTATCTATGCCTCCATCTTGGTCTGAACTGTCTTATCTATACTTTTTTTTTAATTAAAAAATCAATAGTACTATGTTATAAGGTTGGAAAGGAAACACAGAGGTCCTTTGTCTTACCTCTCTTTTTCTGTATACTTTTAAAACATTGAGATATAATTGAAATATAACATTGTTTTAGCTTTAAGCACACAACATGATTTGATGCATGTATATATTGCAAAATGATTACCATAGTAAGTTAACATTCATCACCACATCACCACATAGTTACAATTCTTGTGATGAGAACTTTGAAGATCTATTCTCTTAGCAACCTCCCAGTATCCAATACAGTACTGTTGATTGTAGTCACCATGCTGTGCATTACATTCCCAGGACTTATTTATCTTGTAACTGGAAGTTTGTACCTTTTGGCCACCTTCATGCATTTTGCCTGTTCCCCTAACCCCCACCTCTGGACACCAGAAATAGGTACTTTGAATTTATAAATTCAGGTTTTTTTTTAAATTCCACATATAAGTGAAATCACACAGTATTTATCTTTCTCTAATTTATTTCACTTAGCACCATGTCCTCAAGGTCTATCTCTGTTGTTGAAAATAGCAGGATTTCCTTTTTTTTTTTGGCTGAATAATTCCATTGCATATATATATATACCACACTTGAATGTTGTAAATAATGTGGCAGTAATCATGGGGGTACAAATGTCTTCTCAAGATAGTGATTTTGTTTCCTCCACACAAGTACCCAGAAGTGATATTTCTGGATCATATGGTAGTTCTAATTTTACTCTTTTGAGGGGCCTCCATACTGCTTTCCATATTGTCTGCGCCAATTTACACTACCAACAGCATATAAGGGTTCCCTTTTCTCCACATTCTCACCAATACGTACTTATATTTTTGATGATAGCCATTCTAGCAAGTGTGAGATATCTCACTGTGGTTTTGATTTGCATTTCCCTGATAATTAGTTATGTTGGACACCTTCTCATGTACCTCTTAGCCATTTGTATTTCTTCTTTTGAAAAATGTTAAATTGATTAGGGTTTTTTCTATTGAGTTGTATGAGTTCTTTATATATTTCGAATATTAATCCCTTATAAAATGTATTATTTGCAAGTATTTTTTCCCATTCCATAGGTTGGCTTTTCACTTTGTTGAACATCTCCTTTGCTGTAAGCTTTTTAGTTTGATGTCTCACTGTTTATTTTTGCTTCTTTGCTTTTGGTGTCAAGTCCAAAAAACTATTGCTAAGACTTATACCAAGGAGCTTACCTCCTGTTTTCTTCTGAGTTTTATGGTTTCAGATCTTACATTTAATCCTTTTGCTAGATTTTTGTGCATGGTGTAAGATACTGGTCCAGTTTCATTCTTTGTAGTGTTTCCACACCATTATCCTTTCCCAATTGTACACATATTCTTGGCTCCTTTGCTGTAAGTTAATTGCCCACAGACCATAGATATAATGGTTTATTTCTGCATTCTCTATTCTGTTCCATTGATCTCTGTGTCTGTTTTATGCCAATACAATACCATTTTGATTACTATAGCTTTGGAATACTATACACTTTTTCTACTTTATTTTTAAAAAATTAGAGCCATACCATATCTAGACCTGTTTTTTCATTTATGATAAAGCATTTCCCCATGTCATTAGTTTTTGAAAAGCTGATTTTAAATCATAACATGGTACAAATACCATAATTATGTGCATACTTCATTTTTGTTGGGGTTTAAGTGGCATCAAAGAATATTTTACATTAGAAGATAATCATATAAAGTAGAAATACTTTTAGTCAATCACACACCACAATTTTTTAAAAGATTTTATGTATTTATTTTTAGAGTGGGAGGAAGGGAGAAAGAGAGAGAAACATCAGTGTGTGGTTACCTCTCGCATGCCCCCTACTGGGGACCTGGCCCAAAACCCAGGCATGTGTCTTGATTGGGAATTGAACCAGCAACCCTTGAGTTTGCAGGCTGACACTCAGTCCACTGAGCCACACCAGCCAGGGCTCAATCACACTGCAATTTTTATTTACCTTATATTTATAAAGCTATAGTATTCCTCTGACATTTTTCATTTTGAAACAGAACCAGAATATTTTGCTAGCAGTGATCTTTTTCATGTCTTCTAAAGCCTTTCTTCCAAATTTTCACCCATCTGAAGATAAAACTGACAGATTTTTTATGGTTCTTTCTAACTCTATGAGACCCACCTTATTTCAGAATTTCACCTATTTATTTTTACTACATCCTTATGAGATTAAAAATGGCCACTGAAGCTTTAGTTAAAGAGAAAGTAGACTCTTCAGACTCTTGAAGAGGTAGGGGTCATGTTTCAGTCATTGTTCCATTTCTTGGCCATAGTAATCACTACACAGATTTGACTGATGCCAACATGTATTCTATTCTCTTGCAATACCTCCAAGTATAATTTGTATTGGCTTACTCATATTTGAAGATAAAAAGGGTCTACTGTAGGATAAATAAGGATTTTCCTTTTAGCTTCCTTCCCACCTCTCCCAACTCTTTTTACCTACACTCTTTGATCCTTATAATAGGTAAGCACTTGACTTAGGGGAGTTGTGAATGGCACTGTGTTTTCATTCCATTCCTTGATGAAAACCCTGAAGCCCTGGTTTAGGATATATAGGTCCTATACAACAGCAGTCCCCAACCTCTTTGGCACCAGGGACCTGTTTCTTAGAAGACAGCTTTTCTTTAAAAATTTTTTTTTAAAGATTTCATTTATTATAGAAAGAGGGGTAGGGAGGGAGAATAAGAGGGAGAGAAACAGATGTGCAAAAAAAAAAAAAAACCATCCATCGGTTGCCTCTCACATACCACCAAAGGGACCTGACCTATAACCCACCCCTGACCAGGAATTGAACCTGGTGATGTTTTGGTTCGCAGGCTGGCTCTCAGTCCATACAGCCACAACAGCCAGGGCAAAGACAACTTTTCCACAGGTTTGAGGGTGGGGGCGGGCTCTGGAGGCAGAGTTCAGGCTCTTACCTGCTCACCTCCTGCTGTGGACAGAGGGGTGGGGCAAGGCAGAGACAGGAAGCTAGCTTTGCTCCTGGCAGGTTCCTAACAAGCAGGGGACCTGTATAGGTGGTCTAGGTCCCAGGGTTGGGGACCCCTGTGATACAGGAAGGAACAAGTATTTATTTGTCAGCTGGTTAATTCAAGAATAAATGTAAGAGCTTTTGTTTCGGGATGACAGAGGGTAGGAAATACAAATAAATCAACTTGCATACCTAAACATTTATACTCATTTTCCCTCATTAGGCTTAATAAGAGACTAAACTATTTGGGAGGAGGGAGCGCAGAGAGGGGAGGGCAGTTAAGGGTAACATAATGTTATCTGGAGCAGTGGCCAGTCTCACTGCCTCAGCAGCTGCCAATTCTTCATACTGACCTCTGCGAGCAAAATTTTCTTCCTCCCATCCACATCAGGGTGTTTGGAATCACCTGACAGTTTTTGGTTGCAGAAAATTCAATTCAGCATGCTTCAGGAGAGACAAAGAACTGATACTCTCCTCCAGGCTTTTACACTAAATCCTAGCAATAGTTACCAATGCTTCCATCTTTCAAGCACAAGCAAGTAACTTCTCACTTTTCAGGTAAAACATGTTTTTCTACTTTTAAAATTCTCTTCACAAAACAAAATGTTCAAATGACAAACTTTACATGAACATGTTTATGACATTTATTTAAAATTTTTTAAAAATTATTTTTAGGGAGAGAGGAATGGGGGAGGGTAGAAGGGGGAGAGAGAGATCAAGCAATCCATTTATTGTTCCACTTATTTATGTATTCATTGGTTGCTTCTTGTATGTGCTCTGAATAGAAATTGAACCTGCAACCTTGGCATACCAGGACAATACTCTAACCAACTAAGCTACCTGGTAAGGGGTATGACATTTATTAAGAGCAAAACGTTTTTTGTTTTGACAAGGCGGGTAGGGGGAGGGATAGATGAGGCATTCTTTACAAATTTAGACACATCACAATCACCAATCATCTGGTAGACATAAAAAGGCAGTCTCATTTAACACCTGACCTGCCCCACCAAAATCTTTTAAGTAGCATTATGACACTCATTTTACTAATGAAGATACAGACTCAGAAAAGTCACAGATGCCAGGTAAAACAACATCAAAATGAAAACAGCAAGATTGGGAACCCAGTTCTAGTTGAATACACTGCATTTTTTTTTAATTCTCACCCATGGATATTTTTTCATTCCCTTTAGCAGGGGTGTCCAGCTGGCTCAGGATGACTATGAATGTGGCCCAACACTAACTTGTAAATTTACTTAAGACATTATGAGATTTTTTTGTGTGATTATGTATAGCAGTGTATTTAATGGTTGGCCGAAGACAACTCTTCTTCCAATGTGGCCCAGAGACACCAAAAGGTTAGAGAGCAAGGGAGAGGGGAAGGGAAAGAAACACTGATGGCAGAGAGAAGCCTCGATTGGTGGCTTTCCAAATGCACCTGGACCAGGGAGGATACTGCAACCTAGGCATGTGCTCTAATTGGAAATTGAACAATGCTCCAACCAACTGAGCCATACTGGCCAGGGCTGCACATTTCTATACTAACTAAACTAGCTGACCCTTAAACAACATGGGCTTGAACTGCACAGGCCCACTTATATGTGGCTTTTTCTTTCAATAAATACAGTAAATGTATTTTCTTACAATTTTCTTAACACTTTCTTTAGTGTACTTTAATAATACAGCATATAATACATATAATATATAAAATGTGTTAATTGACTGTTTGTTATTGGTAAGGCTTCCAGTCAACAGTATACAATTAGTACAGTCGGTCCTCTGCATCCACTGATTCCTAACCCTGGATTGAAAACAGTTGCATCATGGATGTAAAACCTGCAGATAAAAAGGGCCAACTGTACTTAAGTTTTTGGGAAATCAAAAGTTATATACAGATTTTTGACCACATGCGGGGGGGGGCGGTCAACACCCCCAACCCCCATATAAACTGTACAGTGGTTCTCTTCACCTTATACTGTCTGAAGCCTTATGACACCTAGGCTAGTCCATCTGAAACATGGATATGCATTATTATGTATTGCCTAAGGACTCCTCAGATTTTAGAATGAAGCCAAGGGAAAAAAACAATAATCCAAACCTTAATCCTGGGTCTTATAGGGAGGCATGGGACATTCTGTTATATAATCTAAAACCAAATAATTTTTCCTGAAAATAAATCCTTCTCTGAATTTTCTAATTTTTGTCACTACTATTCTAGTCATCTAAGTTAAAAATCCTTACATTTAATGAAGACATAATCAGGGCTTATAAATTATATAATAAGGGTAATGCTAATTATATGATCAACATTTAGGAGCACAAAAGATTCCAGAATTAATTCTGTGATGTGAGAAATAATGGTGAAAACTTTTCAGAGGAAGTATATGAGCTGGCCATCGACTGAGTCCAGTTTTGCCCAGAGAATTAAGGGAAAGGGCTTCTGAATAGAAGATAAAAATTTGAAAATATATAGCTTTTCTCCTATTACATTCAATAAATTGCCAGCTTATCTGGTTCTTCCTTAACAATCTTTTTTTTACATCTGCCCCTTTTCCTTGCCCTTAATATTATTACTACCAATCACCTTATAGTTGTACACTATGTATTACTATGAAATTTCTGATTTAACAGTTTTTGCCTCCAGTTTAAATACTCATAGCTATCACTAACAGACTTTTAAAAATTATCTCCTTTTACATGATCATAGAACCTATAAAAGTTCCCTATTGATTCTGAAGTAAAAAGTGTACTTTGTAATTTTTAAAGATACATACAAACCATTAAAACATGTATTTAAAATACAGGTACAGCCCTGGCTGGTGTAGCTCAGTGGATTGAGCACAGACCTGTGAAGCAAAGGGTCGCCAGTTCAATTCCCAGCCAGGGCACATGCCTGGGTTGCAGGCCAGGTCCCCAGTGGGGGACACATGAGAGGCAACCGCACATTGACATTTCTTTCCCACTCTTTCTCCTTCCCATCCCCTCTCTCTAAAAATAAATAAATAAAATATTTAAAAAAATAAAATACAGGTACATTAAATTTATCTTAAAATGCATATTTTATTCCAGTAGCCAATGACCATCAATCAAACAAAGAAAAGAAAACTAATTTCATGAAGAAAGACAAATCTATGGAGTGGTTTACAGGAAGTGAAGAATGAGATGGCTCAACTAAACCAACTCGGAATCATTAATGACAATATGTCTAACTACAAGACGGGTGTCAAAATGGGACATTTAAACAGTTTTGAAATGTTACACATCTTTCTTTAGCTTTTGTTATTTTTCAAAATTGTATGGGAAAGTTATACAAATCATAGTAATGGCTAAAAGTACCAATCTATGAACGTAATGATTTGCAATATAAAGTTGTATTTTGATACTTTTCTGTCTTCAAATCAGTTGCTGTCATCTGAAGTACTCAGTTAAGTTGTGGTTTGAACTTCCTCAACTTGACAAGAAAAGCTAATTTAAGGGGGAAAAAGTGAGGTCATTATAATAATTAGAAGAAAACATCATTTACTATGGCCTAAAAACATTACTCACCTGTATGACCAGTTTGCCAGTGTATAGGTCTAGCAATATAGGGAGATGATCCATATGGAAAATCAGAATGTGATTCTTCTGTTGTAGAACAAAATGTATATTTGTAAGCTACACAAAATATTTCATAATTTGTTCAAATATTTCAAAACTGTTAAAGTACATATTAATGTCACTTTACTGTAAATTTTTTTTCCACATAATTTTTTAGAACTTGTTTTGGAGCTACTATACCACTTATCTTACAGAAACAACTTGTCAAGGATTATATGATAAACTTATATATGGTTTTATAACCAAATAGATAAATCCATATCATAAATCAAGGGATATTTGAAAAAGCTTGTTTATAGCCTAAGTAATATGTACAGCCCTGGCTGGTGTGGCTCTGTGGCTAGAGCACTGACCTGTGAGCCAAAAGGTCGCAGGTTTGATTCACTGTCATGGCACTTGCCTGGGTTGCAAGCCAGGTTCCCCAGTTGGGGGCATGTGAGAGGCAACCCATTGATGTAATCTCTTGCACATTGATGTTTTTCTCCCTTTCCCTCTCTTTAAAAAGTAAATAAATAAAATCTTTTAAAAAATATTGTGTACATACAACGAGGACCTGAATTTAGAGAATTCTATCAGCATAAATAGCAAGTATTAGTTATTCGCATAGCAGGTCCTATGAAATTCTTTTCCTTCAGTAATAATCACTGATTTAAATTGTAAAAATTCTTTAGTGTATACACACATATGCACACACACACAGTATTTCATAAGCCAACCTCCTTGTCACAGTAAAATATGAGTATAAGAAGCTAAGTTCTTCAAAGGTATCAGAGCTTTACATAAACAAGCAAAGGCATTATTCTATCCCTTATGGTTTTAATTTAACACTGTAAATACCACATGTCAATTTAGAAACAAAAAAATCCTCGAGAAATATTTTTATAGTTTATTGGTCAATACACTCAGATAACTAGTCTCCATTTATTATTGCAAACACCTGCATAAAATAAAATAAAAGCTCACCATCGTCATCCTCTTGAAACATCTCTCCTTCAATTCTACTTTTCTTTTGAGAATGTAATTGTAAATCCACATTGATTTGAGGTTGTACTTTTTGAACTAAAATCCCACTTTTCTGTTTTGCAAGGCAAACCAACCAATCTCTGACAATGACTTCACTTATCTTTTCACATGAGAGAGCAAGTTCACAGATGCGAATTCCATCTAAAAGTTCAATAACCTGTGTGATGCTTTCAGAAAAGTAAAAGCACTTTAAATTTCTAGTACAACAACTTTAAGTTTACTGTAGTTCTTATCCAGATTTAAATGCTATTGTTAAATGAAGGGGCAAAAAGTAAAAACGCAAGTGAGGGCACATAATAAGCAATTTTACAGAATACTAAGTAAAAAATATAGAGAGCGTAACTTAATATTATTGTTCACATAGTTTTAAAACTTTTCTTCTAAATTGCCAGAAAAATATGCATGCTATATTGTCATTTATGTAAAGGATGGTTTAAATAGCAACATAAGTGATTTGAGACACACGTCATTTCATAAGTTTTACAGCATAATGCATATTATCTAACTCAGTTACATATGAGAAGTGTTTAAAATCACATTTAAAGTAATAGCCACATCACTCACTTTGCTAGATATACAGCACATACACCACCCTGTTTAAGATGTGGATATAAAACAGGCAAAGCAACTTGAGGATTCAACATATCCAAAGCTACCTGTGGGGGAAAAAGAATCAGACTGAGTTCTGTTTAAGTAAAGCATAGGTTTTCTTTTCTTATTGTAGTAAATTGATACCCAGTTAAATTATTTCATTTTTCAGAATATAGTTCAACTAACTCATTTTACTGCTCCCCAGAAGACACATCTATTATTATACAATTTGCCACAGTACTTAACTACACAAAGATTGTAATGACATTCCTACACTGGGCAATACTGAGAATACAGGAATCCTTCTTTAGATATACTTTATAAACATTGATATAACTTATATATGGGGGAAGTAGGTGTATGAGTGTGCCCTTATTTATTTATTCTTGATTCAGTTACAGAATACAGGGCTGTAATCACAAAAGATGTCAAATGAATACAGTGAGTAAATAGAATTTTTCAAAAAAATAATAAAAAATGAAATATGGTCAAAATAGAAAAAATAAAGTGACTATTATTGAAAGATAATTCCAGACGACTAAGAGTGGTTGGCACATCAATATATTTTTACTAAATTATAAGTTACTCAAAAAATTGTATTTTTAAAAAAAAATAGTGTAATGCATCAAGTAACATTATTAATTCACTAATTATTTGAGTGCCTTCCATCTGCCAAGCATTTTGCCAAGGGACAAGAATATAATGGAAGCTTACATACCATTTGGTTTCATGGCAATTTGTATCGTAATAAAGGGACAGACACTGAACAATACATATACAAGTCGGAGAGTGATATCATGAAGACCTATAGAATTACAAAGCAGAATATGAGGGACAGAGTGACAGGGCAGGGAAAGTGCTACTGTTATTCACAGGCTGGTCAGTGAAGCGACCTGAAGAAATGATTAAGTTTGCCCTGTGGAAGTTTAAGGGGAAAGTGTGCTCCAGATGGAGAGAGCAGCAGCAAATACAAAGGCCCTGAGTCTGTATGCTAGACACCTGGTGAGTCCGAGAAGGCCACTGTCACTGCAGTGGGGACAAAGTGAGGAAATCCTAAGAGACGAGCTCTAAAATGGTAGGGATACGGTGGGAGGGGGAGAGGGACAGATTCTGCAGAATTTGATGAGCTTTAACTTTACTCAGGAAGAGGAAAAGCCACTGGCAAGTTTTAAAGAATGATATAATCTGACTTTTTAGAAAAACCCTTTTTCCATGGTAAACATAATAAAAATTGCCATTTAAAGTGTATAATTTAGTGGTATTATGCACATTATAACTTTTTAAAACTATATGTAGGAAGGACTGAGAGAGGGCAAGGAAGGATGAAGATGGCTTGTACTAGTGAACAGCACTGGATGTGATGAGAAGGGGTATAAATTTTGAAAATCTACGAGCCAAATAGGAACTCCCTATGAGATGGAAGAGAAACGCAGTAGTCAGAATGGATATGCCAGAATGGAGATGTCATTTATTAACAGGGAAAGCGATGAACACTATGGGAGGATCGAGCTTAAGGAGAAATAATCAAGAATTTAGGTTTGAACATGAGCTTAAGTTTTCTGTTAGATATCCAAGTAAAGACCTCAATGACTGGACCAAAGGATCAACACGATGGACCCATGTAGATTTCTTGACTAGTTTCGATGTATTACTGACAAGGACCAAAGCCAAGAAACCTGCCAACCTTTTTCAATGGTCTGTTCTCAGTTCACATTAATCATTCATCCAGTCACTCAAACCAGAAACTGAAAAAAGTCATTTTATTTACCTTGAATTATCTTTTGAGAATCTGTGGGATTTTGTGCTTCTGTCTGGGTTAAAATTATCCAGTCCCACAAACCTACCCTCTTAACTATTTTCCAAGGCATCTACTGCCAATTCCTTAGTTCAGAACCTCATCATATCTGTTGAACCATTACAGCTTTCTGTATAGACTCACAGCCTCCATTCTAACACCAGAATTACTCTAAATCAGGAATTTGGACATTCTACTCCCCTACTTAAAAACTCAGCAGCGGTTTCCCATAACCTATAAAATAACGTCCCTAACTTGATGGAGGGTTTTTTTTTTTTTTTTTTGTCCTTATTAAGCTATAAGAATGCAAGCCAAACAAGGATGAGTAAAAAGAACTCGGGTCTTTATGTCCAGGAAGCTGTGCTACTAAAACTATAGGATTTCGGCCCTGGCTGATGTGGCTCAGTGGATTGAGTACCAGCCTGCAAACTGAAAGGTCACCAGTTCAATTCCCAGTCAGGACGCACGCTTGGGTTGCAGGGTAGGTACCCCGTTGGGGGGGGGGGGTGTGAGAAGCAACCGATCACTGTATCTCTCACACATTGTCATTTCCCTTCCCTCGCTTTCTCCCTTCCTTCTCCTCTCTCTGAAACTAACCAAATAAAATCTTTAAAACTATAGGCTTTTGATAAAGAACCAGTCCTGATAAAATTATCACTCTCCCTTTTGACATTTCTCACCTAGGTTCCCTTATAGGGGTCCTAAAATAATCCAGCCTTCCAACAGCCAAATAAGAAAAACGAAGACTCCTTACCCAGACCTCCATCCATAATGTCAAGCTATGGATGGATAATAGCATCATCAAGGATAAAGCGATTTATACTAGAATTCCAAAACTTTGAAGTCAACTAAGACCTCCACATCCCACATCTCCACCATCACTGCTTACAGCTTAGAATGTCACCCTCTGGTCATCTACCCTTTTATCTTCATACTGCTCTGCTCCTCCCCTTTCTCAACCTCCCACTGGTTCTCTTTTCCACAAATTCCTCCACTCCACTTTCTGGAGATTTGTTCATGATAAATCTTTCTATCCTCAACATCATTAATGAATCCTCCTCTTCATCATGACTTTAACTGTCTAAAGATGCCTCTGGCCTGTTCCCTCCCAAATGGAGGCAATTTATTCCCCCAAATCTTACAACATGAGGTCAGATGCTGGTCTCCTATGCTCCCAATGCTGCTTCCAAATTATTATTCCTTTATCCTAGAAATGCTGGGGGTTATTATAGAGAACCGATCTGCCTGGCAATGGCAAATGTAGCCCAGCCTTACTGGAAAACCCATAGGCGTGTGGCAGCACACAGGATGCCAAACCCATGGATCAGCTTTCCTGTGGGAAATCAGGCCTGCATTATACCTAGGCTGCTTTGAGACTTGCTCTTCCTAAAAATCCCTCACCCTGAGTTGAAACAGCAAAAGCTTACTGCATATCTTTAAAGTAACTTCCTGAAGTCTGTGCTAATTCTCCCAAGTACTGAAGTGTAATCACCAATTACTCTTATTGTTCCCTTGCATTTACAACATTTTTTCCTTGTTAATCTGTAGGAAGTAATCAGTAACATCCTTTCCTTTGTTATATGTAAAAAGTAATTAACTAAAGCAAACCTAAGCATAATAAATGAGAACCTTCTTTGATGTATGCTACTAGAAAGTCAATAAAAGCCTGTCCAGGCAAGGGTCAAGGTGCTCTCCCCTTGAGGGAGTGTCTGTCCCTTTTTTTCCACAGGACTTCGGTAGTCTGTGTGAATTTGTTCATTGCATCAACAACTATGGATCCTGTTGGACAGAGTCTACATCAGTTTATGATGCTCAGCTACTCCTCCCTGGTCACTACCCTGTATTTATTAACAACTTTGGCAACTGATTCAATAAGTCTCTCCACTCTAAATCCCACCGTGATATGGAAGGAAAATATTCCTCCCACGACAGATATATAGCAATGGGGCACAAAATGAAGGAAGATCCTCTTCCATATAAAAAAAGTGTGATCCTTGTTTTCTTTGTACTCTGTATTAGATAATATCACAGGGACCACTTTTGAAAACTTACCGCATCAAGTGTTAAAGATTTTATGTCTTCAGTTGCTCCTGAAATATCTTTATGAATGAAATCCACATTGTCTGGCCACTCTTCTACATGACTAATTTTCCATGAATCACGCCAGTGTTTGTAATTCTTCTTAGCCAGTTCATGGTAGTCTTTTCGTATTTCAAAACTTATGACTTGTCCTTCTGATCCAACTTAATTTAAAAAAATAATTTATGAGACTTCATAGTATTAATTTATAAAAGAATGTTAAGACTTATTGTGAAAATGTATTATTATATAGGTATGAAAAAATAATTCAAATAGTTCAAGTATAATGTAGCATATTTCTATCTATAATCTTTATAAAATTGACCCATACATGCCTATAACTGTTCTAACAGTTTATTAGTTTTAAAAAAAGAATGCATTAAAGAACATACATTATTTTTTTAAAAAACTATCCCAATAGAGCCCTGGCTGGTGTGGCTCAGTTTGTTGAGCACCAGCCTGCAAACCAAAGGGTCACTGGTTCAATTCCCAGTCAGGGCACATGCCCGGGTTGCAGGACAGGTCCTCAGTAGTGGGGCGTATGAGAGACGACCACACACTGATGTTTCTCTCCCTCTCTCCCTCCCTTCCCCTCTGTCTAAAAGTAAATAAATAAAATCTTAAAAAAAAAAAACCCTACTCAAATAGAGTTCTGTCACTGTTCAGAATCTATTAAAAGGTGAGAAAGGGAACACTGCACAGGCAGCCGGAAAGCAACCCCGACACTTAGAGGAATTAAGTGGTCACAGGAAACAATCAACTAGGATAACGGAAACCGGACATAGAGCGGTGGGAACATGAACAGATACATATATGTTTACTCTATACCTCTTGATTTTTGATCAGGTGTTCCCTTCAAGCAGTACTTTTACCGACTGACAATTCATATAGATTTCTTTTTTTTTAAGATTTTATCTATTTATTTTTAGAGAGTGAGGAAGGGAAGGAGAAAGAGAGGGAGAGGAACATCCACGTCTGGTTGCCTCTTGCATGCCCCCTCCTGGGGACTAGGCCCACAACCCAGGCATGTGCCCTAAATGGGAATTGAGCCAGCTGTCCTTTGGTTCCCAGGCCCGTGCTCAATCCACTGAGCTACACCAGCCAGGGCTCATATAGATTTTCTTAAAGACAACATTCTTCATGATCTAGCTTTACCTAATCTATTTATGAACACCAACAATAATTCTTTACCTATGATAGCCAGCCCAGCAGCTGACAGCTCTCCATCTGTGCTCTTTCACACTGAGAATTCATCTGGCACTGTTAACAAAAATATGTACTTATGTGCACCAAAAGTACCAGAATATTCATTAAGATGAATATTCATAAGAGTAGAATGGATAACTTGTGATTTATTTATAAAGTGAAGGAACTATGTAGCAACTAGAATGAAAGAAACACTGCTACATGCAATGGCTGAATCTCACAAACAGAATGTTGAATGAAAGCAGCCAGACATATAAGAGGACATACTGTGTGATTCCTTTTATCTGAGGTTTAAAACAGTCAAAACTAATTAATGATGATATAAGTCAGGATAGTGGTTACCTCTGGGAAAACAGGATGGAGAGGAAACAAAGGGGGCTTCTGTGGTGCAGCACATCTTGGTCTGGGTAATAGCTACACGGGGTAGTCACTATGTAAAAATTCATTAAGCTCTGACTGGTGCGGCTCAATTGGTTGAGTGTCATCCCACAAAGTAAAGGTTGTAGGTTCGCTCCCTGATAGGGCACATGCCTGTGTTGTGGGTCTGGTCCTGGGTCGGGGAGGTAACTCATGGATGTTTCTCTCACACAGTGATGCTTTTCTCCCTCTCTTTTCCCCTCCCTTCTCCTCTCTCTACAAATAAATAAAAATATTTTGAAAACTTCATTCAGATATACACTTATAATCTGGACACTTTTCTGTATATGCTCCAGAAAAGTTTACTTTTTTTTCCTTTTATAAATAAAGTAGAAGCATTAAAAAGCATGAAGAGAATTAAGAGAAATCAAAGAAAATGAAGGTTTAGAAAGAGAGTGACTGGAAAAATGTACAAAATGTATATTTACATTTGGTTTGAAAGAGAATTCTCTATCTCAAAGTTATGTGAATATTTTCTAAAACAACTTTATTTAACTTATAAACAGCTTGTTATCTAAATTCAGCTCATTTATACCAATCTCTTACCTGCTTTAGATAAAAACAAACTCATTCCACCAGAACCCGAGCCAGCTTCCAAAACAGTATCACCTGGGTGAATATCCATCATCAACAGCATCATATTTACATCCTATGATTTAAACACAGTAACCAATAAATATGTACTAAGCACCTACTACGTTGGATTCGGAGAAGAAAAAAGTGAAAACAAAGTATTAAACCTTGGCCCTGCTAGCAAGACTTTATGTTTTACTTGATGAAATAAGACATTCAAGAATTAATTAGCAAAGAAAGCAGTATAATATTGAAATTATAGATAATAAGTACCATTGGAGCTCAGAGAAAGGAGAAAGCAGATTGTCTTAGTTTAAAGACAGAGTGTTGAATTTAAGGAAAACACCACAAGGCAGAAACAATTTTGAACAAAACAGGGGTAAACACAATTTGCCTATCTCAGGAGAGATATGGAGAGACTTAAATGCCAGGCTAAAAAATTTAAATTTGACCTGGTAAGTAACTGGGACATGTCACTGAGGTAATAATATAAATGGCTTTTTATGAAAATTAATTTGACAGGGCCCTAACCAGTGTGGCTCAGTTGGTTGGGCGTTGTACTGCAAAGCAAAGGTCGCTGGTCCATTCCCGGTCAGGGCACTTACCTGGGTTGTGGGTTTGGTCCCCAGTCAGCTGCATGCGAGAGGCAACCACACACTGGTGTTTCCCTCTTTGCTTCCCTCCCTTCCCCTCTCTCTACAAATAAATAAACAAATCCTCTTTTTTAAACAAGCATAATCAGTTTATGCTTAATTTTATCTTTTTTAATAAGAAAGCTTTTTTCTAAAGGTAAAGCATTGTAATATATCCATTGTTGGTAACAGAAACCTGTAGTAACATGTCTTAGTAAATTAAATGATTAAAATATCACCATAATGGTCCTAAAAAAATTGTCCCCAAAAGAGTTTGGGGTGCTCTTAGGTGCTGAACTTGTAAACTTAAGAGTTATGGGGAGGAAATATAACTACTTATTTGCCTAGTGAGTCCACATCACTCTATAAAGTAGTCTACATTCTCTTCACTTTACGAATCAGAGAACTGAGACTCCTAAGTCAAAATTAAAACCTGGCTGCTTCCTAAAATGAGTGTAAAAGCCATATCCGTGGATTTTTCCCACAAAGGCTGAGAACAATAAAACGTATGAAATGTGCTTTACTGCTTTGAGTAAGTGAATCGGGTCTGCAGTAGTGCATCAGTCTTGCTGTTTCTGGAACCAACATGCACCAAACTTCCATCGCGTTACCTTTGGATACGTTATGGCAGGACCTCTCTTCATTAGTAATACATAGTCTTCCAATGCCGGCCTCTTCAGCATGAAGTGCTTACCAGAGGAACTCCTTAGTATCTGGCCAGGGAACTTCCCCACGATGTCGCTGAACGGGACTGCCCCCCAGGTACTGTTTAAATGCCCGGCCTTGTGCAACCTAAATAACTTTTTAAATTGTGTTTCCCTCTTCCCGATCTCAGCTAAAACCAGTTCCCCAGCCCGAAAGGGCTCCTCTCTGGAAGACCAGGAAGAGGGGACGGGAAGTTCTTGGACCAGGGCGGATAGAGAGGGAGTCCCGGATCCCCGGCATGCGGGGCTGGCCTGACCCTGATCTTCCCTCGAGTCCTCGCGCTCTCGAGCGGTTGACTCCTCTGGAGGCGTCGGCAGTCTGAGGCATTCCAGGGATGAATGACATCTGGTCCCAGTGCCAGGGACGCTCGGAGGGAGAGATGGAGGCGACTCTGCGCTGGGGACTTTCTTTGGTGTCGCTTTGAGCTCTCCCTCTCCATCTCGCGCTTCTCTTTGAGAGGACTTGAGACACAGTGACCGGGCTCTCTCGAAGGGCTCTTGTCCAAGTCCACGCAGTAACGGGCAGGTCGCGATCACTGGCCGCCTACAGAGGCGCCGCAGATGTAACAGGACTGGACCGCGGTGGCCCGCGGACAGCATACTGACGTGCGCAGGCGCCGTCGCGGACGAGTGACGTAAGAACTGGCAAGGCGCTGATTGCGACGCACTGAGGCGGCCGCCGAGAGATTTCCGGGCACACGCGGGTGGAAAGCTCGGTGACTGCGCCTGCGTTTAGAGCGGGGGCATCGGCGGAGCTGGGGATCCGACCTGCGAAGTTTCTTGGTGCGTGACGCGCCGGGATCGTGTCCCAAACCCATCAGGGCCCAAATTCTTCTTTGGAATGTGGACTGACTAAATAATGACCGTTGACAAGTCTCCACCCGCATCGCCCGTGGACAGGGGGTTTGAGAGAGACAGTCTGTGAAAGCTCTGTTGTATAAGCTCAAGTCCTGCGCCAGGGTTAGTACTCTGGTAATCGGGAACACGAACATCTCTTGGTCACCTCCAGGATGTATAGAACTGTGCCAGAGTTGCGTGTGACAGATGGCGGTTGGACTGGCTTGACCCGCGCTCCTTCCCCGGCCCCACCAAGGGCCTTGGACTCCGTTCTGGACACCTGCATGCCTGACCCGGGTTCAGAGATTACAGTGACAGTGTTCACTTTGTGCTTGTTTAACGTAATTGGTTTTAATAATTAAAACATAACATTTAGTTCACTAAGTACTTTACTCTCCCCCCAACTAGAAGCATCTCAAAAGACCATTGCTAACACGGATGGCAGGACGTGTTAAAAGTTTAACTTCACACTCCCCCCCCCCCCAATTCATGTGCTGAAATCTAACCCTCTGTACCTCAACATGTGACAGTATTTGGAGACGGCGGTTTTACCGAGGTACTTAAGTTGAAATGAAGTCATTGGAATGGGCATTAATCCAGTATGACTGTTACCCTTAGAAGAAGACATTGGGTCTCAGGCAGATAGATATCCACCCTGCAAGCCAAGGAGAGGGGTCTCAGAAGAAGCCAAACGTGGTGTCCACACCTCGATGTTGGACGTCTAGTCTCCAGAACTGTAAGACATTTTTGTTATTTAAGCCTCCTACCCCTGGTCAGAACATTAACTGTATTTTCTGATTCACTTTAATTGGATCTCTTGAAAAGGTTTTGACACCGTCCAAAAAATTAAATAAAAATAAATTTACTTACTCCTAAAAACAAAACAAAACCAGGAAAAGATTATCTTTGGAGTCCAAAGGCTTATTTAATACTATCACCAACCTACCTTCTTAATTTAATTGGAAAACATTGACTGAGGGTCTGGCGATACTAGGCATGTTAGGTATTTAATTAAACTTTGCAGTAACCCTATGCTAAAAAGAAGTTTTCCCATTTTACACATAAGGAAACGGACCCAGGGAGATTCAGTGATGGGGGGGCAACATCCCATAACCGACAGGTCACGTGACAGGGTTTCCTCTGCAGAGCTCAGCAGTCCGTGCTCTTGGTACCCTAACATCCCTTCTGGAAGACCTGGCAACAGTACAGCTGATTCAGAGTTAAAGTCAAAAACATCTTCACAGGACTGCGAATTCAGTTTAAATTCGACAAAACAGGTCTCGATACTACTTTTGAAGACATAATACTTTTCTAATCTGTGCTTTCTAAAATATAAGCCACCATAAAGTCCATCATCAGGTTTCTCTATTTTTTAAAAATATTTTATTTATTTATTTTTCGAGAGAGGGGAAGGGAAGGAGAAAGAGTGGGAGAGAAACATCAATGTATGGTTGCCTCTCATGCGTCCCCTGCTGGGAACTGGCCTGCAACCCAGGCATGTGCCCTGACTGGGAATTGAACCGCGATACTCTGGTTCACAGGCCCGAGCTCAATCTACTGAGCTACGTCAGCCAGGGCAGGTCTCTCTATTTTAATCTCAAAAATGAGTAAAGAAACTGCTCTTTCCCTCATTCTAAATGCACATCTGACTTTTGGTTTTAATTTTTTTTTAAAGAAAAGTTCTCACGACCAACTTTTTTATTATCTTGGCCAAATATGCATCTGAGTTGGAACCTTCTGAATCCTAAGCCTTACAATAATTTTTATCTTAAATACTATTAAATGATACTTGACTTATTTCAGAAGGAGTAGGAATTGGAAAGGTGAAGATATATTGGAAAAATATGGGGAATACATGTCTTTGAGTTCTGAGATAAACCGCAAACACTAAATGGCGTTCCTTTCCATCTATTGTTGGAGTAACATGTAGTGGCATTTAGTCAAGCAATTACATTAAAGATAGAATAACTGTCAAGGGACACTATGGCTGATGGCCGGCATTTTTAAACCTCCAGTCAAACTAGACCACTAGTTCTAGTTCTACAAATCTCCGGTAGCTCCCCACACATGTGGCTTCCCTCTGTGATGTATAACTTCCTTGTTGACCAGGTATCAGCTTCACGCTGCCACTAGAATGGTGGCTAAACAACAAAAGACTGGAAAGTGTCTCTCCTCTGTGCTCCTGGTGTATCCTGCCTTTAGACCTGTCACAGCACGTGTCATGCTGTGCGGAAGTCACTATTTACCATTTCCCGGGTCAGAGGGTAAGATCCTTGCGAGGGCTGTGTCTTCTTGTTCTTCACGCCGCTTCCTAGCGGTAAGAGCTTCAGTCTCCCCATGGCTGTGAGGGTGGTATTTTTTTGTCTTTTCTGCTAGGCTATAAGCTCTGTGTGGGCTGAACAGTATCTGACATTTCTTGAATCAGAAAGCATAGATTTGGTGAAATAGTATGGAAACATTAAAATTTTTCTATTTGATATAGTAACGTGGGATAAATCTTGATGAACTAAGAGGGAATAGGCACTCCCACCATTACTTTTACACTGTGACAAATAAATTGTTACTATGTATATATATGATTACAGACTGGAAGTGGGTAGGCAAAAATGTAAATAATTGTTATATTCCTGCAGATATAAGTGAATATTTCTTTTAAACATTTGTTCAATCATGTTATTTTTTTAAAAGACTACTTTTAGAGAGAGAGGAAGGGAAGGAGAAAGAGAGGGAGAGAGACATCAACCAGTTGCCTCTTATACACCCCCAATTGGGAACCTGGCCTGCAACCCAGGCATGTGCCCTGACTGGGAATTGAACTGGCAACCTTTCAGTTTGCAGGCTAGTGCTCAGTCCAACTGAGCCACACCAGTCAGAGCTCAATCACGGTATTAAAAAGGAAATAGCTTTCTGTGCTACTCTGGGAGAGGCCCATATGTGTTGTTCTCAGTTCCCACATAATTGAAAGGGAAATTTCACGATGTCCAGAGACCTTGATATACTGCAAATGAAGGAGGATATCCTCAAATTCCCTGCAGCAGGAACCCACTTAGGTGCTACCAACCTTGACTTCCGAATGGAACAGGACATCAACAAAGGGGAAAGTGATGGCATCCGCATCACATGTCTGAAGGGAATCTGGAAGAAGCTTCTGCTGGCAGCTTGTGCCATTGCTGCTCTTGAAAACCCTGTTGATGTCAGGGTCATACTGCCCAGGAATACCGGCCAGCAAGCTGTGCTGGTTTACTGCTGCCACTTGAGCCACTCCTATTGCTGGACGCTTCACCCTATAACCTTCACTAACCAGATCCAGGCAGCCTTCTGGATCTGAGAGCTGATGAGAGCTGAGATGACTGGTGGTTACTGATCGCAGGGCTGACCAGCAGCTTCTCCCAGAGACGTTTTATGTTAACCTGCCTACCGGTGATCTGTGTATCACAGAGTCCCCTCTGCCCTGCATGTTCATTGCCAGCCCTTGCAACAACAAGGGGGCTCACTCAGTAGGTCTGATATGGTGGATGATGCTGGCTGGGGAAGTACTGTGCATTCACGGCACCATCTCTCACATATACCCATGGAAGGTCATGGCCCATCTTTACTTCTTCTTCTTTTAAAAAAGATTTTATTTATTTATTTTTAGAGGGGAAGGGAGAGAGATAGGGAGAGAAACAACTAGCAGTTGCTTGTCTTATGCACCCTGATTGGGGACCGAACCCACAACCCAGGCATGTGCCCTGACCAGACTCTAACCCGTTAACTTTTGCTTTTCAGGACAACGCCCAACCAACTGAGCCACGCTGGTCAGGGCCAATCGTTACTTCTACAGAGAAGTTGAAGAGATTGAAAAGAAAGAGGAGGAAATTCAGGGTGCATGGACTGCTCTGGCTTCTGAGTTTACTGCAGCTCAACCTGAGGTCGCAGACTGGTCTGAAGGTGTGTAGGTGCCCTCTGTGTCTAAGCAGCAGTTTCCTACTGGTGGCTGGAATGCCCCGCCTGCCACTGAAGACTAGTCTGCCGTCCCCACTGCTGAGGCCACTGAATGGGTAGGAAGAACCACTGAATAGTCCTAAGCTGTTCTTCCACAAACTGTCAAACAGACTGGAAATAAGGTTGACAGAAAACCAGCGGTTTCAAAAACAAACTCAAACCTCTTTCTTTCTAAAGAATGAGCCTGTCCTGCAATGCACAGCCAAGTTCCTTCACCGGTCCTCTCTCCCTAGTACAAGCTAGCGTTGAGCCCAGCAGGCCACTGTCCACAAGTTGGCCTGCCCAACGTTCTCTGGCGTCGCGAACAGCCACTCCCCGGGCTCTCTGAGGTCCCTCCGCCCCACTTCCTCCCTCCAGGCCCCGCCCCGGTCCCGTGCGCCTGCGCACGTGCGAACACGTGGCTGCTGGGGAGCCAGAGCAGCAATGGCGGCGGGTGGCGGCCGAGTTGCCGACCCCCTGTCTCCCGCGGGGCTCCCCTGCGCCTTCTCCCCGCAGGGTCAGGCCTACTTTGCTTTGGCGTCTGCCGACGGTCACCTGCGAGTGTGGGAGACAGCCAACAACCGGTTGCACCAAGAGTACGTGCCTTCCGCGCACCTCAGCGGTACCTGCACCTGCCTGGCCTGGGCGCCAGCGCGGTTACAGGCCAAGGTAAAGCGAGCGGGACGGCGGGAGGTGGGTTCCTGCCAGGGCTCGGCCTCTGCGCCCCCAGGACCGACGGCGCGTGGCCTTGCTACCCGCGTGGCCTTCGGAGGCCCGCGGCGAGGAGGCACTGAGTGCGGCAGCGCGTAGTGGGCCCACGCCGCC